CTGGTCTCGGAAGAATTCATCGAGCTGTGACTTCACTGCTTCATTCCTTTTGATATGACTGTGCACTAAAATGTCAGCGTTAAACCCAAACTCCCTACTGTCTTTTGCTAAGTGCTGAGACCAAGTCCGCCAAAATCCATCAATCACACTACTTGCATGCTTTGCTTTCGGCCCCCAGGCCCATCAAGTCCATCATGCTCCATCAATATTAAGTCAAACCAGGCCTACAGGACCAAGTCCCCCCAAATGGGGGTATGTATTTTGATGGAGTTGGGGAGGTTAGGGTTAAGGCAAGTGCTGTCTGAAACGAGAATCCAGAGCTACAACTACGACGGTTGTTTGCACATGTTGCCTACTGACATTGGTCCCACTGAACACGGGTAGGCAAGGCGTGCCGTTCACTCTCCCTGCTGTGTACACGGGTCAGCAGTATATTTTTGATTTTTTTTTACCCAAGTAGAGACCTCTGAAGTCTGGTCCTGACCAGGGGTTTCTGAAACCTGCGTGTTGGACTTGGATTCATCGCAGAGATTTGGGATATTGGGAATGGCCCTCTAGACAATAGCTACAGATACTAGACAAGGTATTCAGATGTGGCCTACATGTAAGTTTGAAATGAATCACGTAGTTGTATTCCCTGCATTGGTCGACAAGCTGGAGATGCGTATGCATTTACATACCGGTATGTACCACACAGACCAAATTTAAAGTAATTGAGCTATGGTTATGCACACATGTGCAAGGCTTTTCTCTGCCAAATACCATGTTTTTGTTACTCTGCAGGGATTATTGGCTAATTTTGCCAACCACTATTTTCTTTGTTAAGCTTCGTGCAGTTTTGGCCAAGCTCGCTTTCAACAACGTCTTGGTTAATATCAGTGTTTTTGTAGAGGAAAGGGGATTTGTAAACTTGAATTCTCCATCCTGATTGGTTGATCCATGGCAACAAACCGCGCTACATGTACATTATCCCATGTAGCACGGTCCGTATCGCACTATTCCAAGATATAGTGCCATTCCAGCTGCATGCTCGGATAACCGCTAAAAGGTTACTGTACTTGAGCGTGCTCATTCCAACTTTACTGCTTGTCAAGTTTGCTTAAACTTAAATTCGTTATCTCACTTGCGCACGTGGAACCAGGAAAATTTAGTGTATCTGCATCATACCACTCCGCCTTCAACCTCATATCATGTGGGACACAGACGCACTTCATTAATCCGAGTTCCACTCGCGCTCGTGGGATCCCATAGTGTGTGTACGAGTTCTATATGAATTCTGAAAGTTACCTGTACATGTAGTTACCGACAGTTTATGGAAAGCTCAATGTTGCCCTTACACATTTTCCTCAACAGACTATAGGAAAGTCCACTACTTAGCAGGGTACAATATATGAAACAAATTAACAATTTTACCAGCCCATAAAACTATTTTGCAGTTTAGAAAACAATTTATTTTCATGAGGAATCTCAGTTTTGTATATGTACATGTATATTACTCAATATACCAGTATGTTGTTGTTTTCCCCAATCTGCTGTGTTTGCAACTTAAAAAAAGAAGTTTTTCAAGCTTGCACAATTTTGATGGTACATTGTAAATGTATGCAGGGCTGGTAGTCAAAATGACCGGTGATCTAGGAAAAGGCCAGTTTATGCATCCAAAACTAATTATCTTACAATATTCATTCTAGAATACCGGTATAACGGGTGCAGGATTACAAAATAATTAATAAGTGCCTACATTATATTTGTGTGATCTTATGAGATTTTAGTTTCAGTTTGCCTTTTCTGTTAACATTTATCAGTAGTTCTGTTGCTGCAGAGTTTTGTATTATAATTAATATTATTATTTTTTTAGATTTAAACAATTCTTTTTGTCTTGGTGGATTTGGAAGCCATTAAGGGGTTGGGTCTCATTTCAAGAGATCATATTTTTTTGGGTTTCGATTTTTGAGTTATTAAAACCTTGGTTTTTATTAATGAAAAAATTGGTTGTTTATCAAGGGGCAACTTTGACTGGACACTCTAGGTCATAATATCTTCTTGCTTTGTTACACAAACTAGTTTTAACTGGACTTTAACTTGTTACCAAGTGTAACGTTTAAGAAATCTATCAGCGGATATGGTGGTGCAATGGACTAGTGTCAACTAATTCAAATTGTTGTGAAATGTAGACCTGAGCAACCAAATTACAGAATTGATTGAGAAACCAAATTACAGAATTGATTGATAAATATAAGAAATGAATTATATTTGTAATAAAAACTGATTTTACCTGTATAATTTTTGAAGTGTAACCAATAAAAAATATATATGGACTGTGAGACATGTGTCATTTGTGAATGATTCAACATATTCACAGTATTCAGTGGTACAATGTACATGTACCAGTGTAGCTGGATTTCAGAAACACTGAAATACATGTAGTTTCAAAGATACAAGCACTAGTAACTGTTGCCACTCAGTTTGATGAATATGGTCAAACGATGATAAAGTTCAAGGAAATAAGATCATGTGACCTTACTTGAGGGATTTATCCTCCCCTCCCCCTACCTGACATTTCAGGCGATTCACAATTCAGTGCGCCACCAAGAGTTTCCCACGGAGAGTTCATTTTTTCCCAGTGCATTGTGGGAGATGGTCGACAAATTCGCAGCGTGGGACATTTGAAATTGTTAATTTTTTTCCGGTCAGTAGTTTCGTAAATGTATGATTCGAATATATGTTCGCCCTTTTTTTCTTTTAATCAATATGGCGGGTTTTTTTATGAGCTGGCAGAACGCTATGCCCCAATCTATAACAAAATTAGCTCCAGTTGTCTACTGACACTCATTCAAGTGGACCGCATTTTGTCGACCGTAAACTTGAAAAATGGACTCTCCATGGCAAACTCTTGGTGGCGCACTGCATTGTGAATCGCCCGAATTGACAGTAGAAACTGCTGGGAGTATGGACATTAATACAAGTTTCTACTATGTACGTGCGTGTGGAGAGCCACGTCTCCCATTCCAAACCTCAAATCACACCACCACTATCATTCTCCTCAATTAAGCAACCATTCAAAAGTCGTACAGTCTAGTTTGATTTTTTTTTACCAGCATTACCATTGCCAACCCCATGAAAATCTCTGCTAAGTGAATGACGCAAGTGCAGTGTGCTAGGAATTTCAAGGGTAGCGTTGCCAAAGTTCCTAATGACTGATTTGATTCATAGCAACCTTTGACAGTATTGGCTTATTTACAAAGATTATCAGGGATTGGCTGTATTGGGGGATTAATTCCACACCAGTCTTGGAACAAGGTCTCACAAGATAAGACAACGTCTTTTTGGCGCAACATCTCAAGTTGCAGCTCTCAGTTCCAGAAATTTTAGTGCAGAATTATTTTTTTCTGAGAATCTCAAACCCAGATCGTGGTGCACAGTACACCTGTGGCTTTTGGCAGCCTTTTCTAATATGTTTTCTTTATCGGTGATTGGTCAGTCTAAAGGAAGTTTAGATTAATTGCGGAAAATTGAAAGATTACCAGACTTCCTGACTTTTTTCAAGAGTGCCAAAAGTTGCCCAGAGCTGTCCCATCATCCAATTATGTACTGACTTCAGAGTCAAAAACTGAAAGTGTACATAACTGGGATGACGCGTACTATGCAGTGACGAAAAAGTGAACAGATCAGAGTTAATGTGCAGGACACAGGGGACACTGCGTGGAAAGTTTTGCCCAGTAAGTTTTTTCTTCATTTGTAATATGCGCATGAATATGTAAATGTACACCAGTCTATGGATTGGTCTATGAAAAAGCCGCTTGCACAGCAAGGGTCTATGGTATTCGTGCAGATTCGGCGATTAATTTTGCAAAACAAGACTGCGTCTTGACCTCCAGATTCTGACCATTCAGTGGGTGCCTTCTGTCGGGTCTTCGGTTATCCATTGTTGTATTACAAAAACATGGCAGTCAATTGACCAATCAATGAAATTACGTCACAATTTCTAAAGTCGATTCCAATTGGCTTGCGTGTGGGGTCGCATAAAAAATGTGCATGCTCGGATATATCAGCCAATCATAGTATGGCTTTTCACATGTTAACGTCTGATCCTCAGACTATCTATGGATTAGCTCGCGTCCAAATCTCCTGTAATGCTGATAATCAAAGACCTACAACTACGTCTGAGACTGCCCCGAGTATCTTTTGCCCTGTGCCTGTACCCATGTCTACAAAAAGTTGACTAAACTAATTGGCGGTTTGAGGCTTGTGTAAAAGCGTCTCTAGTCAGTAGTTGATGGTCCACATGTCAACACGAAACTTCTTCAATCTGGCAGGGCCGTATCATAAGTCCGACGCCTCATAGGTTCGACGCCTCATAAGTCCGAAATTTCGGACTTATGAGGCGTCGGACTTATGAGGCATACAATTTTTTTATTCCGTCACATAGGTCCACACCTCATAAGTCTTACGCTCATAAGTCCGGCGTCGGAAGAACGAGGCGTTTAATTTGTCGAACCTAAGAGCCGTTTGAGCTATGAGGCATCTGAGCTATGAGGCGTCGGACTTATGAGCGAACCCCAATCTGGCTTCCTCTGTTTTAACCTTTGAGTGGCCAGCCTCAGTGGGCTAGTCCCAATAGTCAACTAGAGGATTAAACATGGGTAAAATTTGTCAGGATTTTTTCCTAATTTTAGGATTAAAAAAAAAACCTTTTGAAATCAGGAAACACTGAAGTTTTACCATAAAGGTTTTTTTTAACAAAAGAAATGGGTATTGTACGGTTCATAGACCCTACGTTGCTCTGTGGCCCTCGGCGAGCCTCATACCCTCTGCCGAATTATCTCCTGGGTTACTCCTTTTTCCCAATTTCACCCTTGTAGCACAAATTTGGTTGACTTGCCTAGGATCGAGCTAAGAAAGAACTTGCTCATCAAATCCAACAATATATTGTTTTTGTTTATAATTTCATTTCACATGGTGAGCTCTTAAGTTAGTGTGCTTTTCTGTGGTTTATTCAACAGAAATTAGTCGGTAGACTGCATGAGTTCAACAACGTACAAGCAGACTACGCGCGTCGAGACCCGCACAAGCTCTCAGCCCCAAACCCGAACGACCGTCGTCCGTTCCTCCCGTCACTCGTCCGGCATGGCTAACTGCGGCTGGCTCTGGAGTATCGTCTGGGCACTGATCCTGCTGGTGCTGGGCTGGCCCATCGGCATCCTGTGCGGCATACTCTACGCCATCTTCTGCGCCTTTGTGCCGTGCTGCGGCGGCTGCGCCGACTTGGCCAACTTCTTGCACCGGGGGCTGGAGCTGCCGAAGACCTGCGCCGAAAACATGGTGGCTCAGCGGTCGGGCTGTTAGGTAGAGGATGCATCGGGAACAGCATAGCAGCTGCACGAGCAGGTTCAGAGCATTGACCTCCGGTAGTTCCAACAATCTTCCTACACATGTAGCTCACCCCTTCTGGAAAAGCAATGAGTCAACACACATTGCCAGCACGCACTCTTGTTTTTAGCGACAAGGGAAATACACTCAAAAGTTTGGAGCTTTGATAAACTGATTCATCTTCTTCCTACAGCAGGATTTATTAAATTCAATTTTTTTCTTTTCATAAAAGACACAGAAGTGCCCGAAAGACTGGCAACCCGTAAGGCCATTTATTATGCAGTTTCCCAGAAAGTCATGAAAATTTTCATTTTGCAAGGGCGTACTAGTTACACAAACAAACCTTCAGTATTTGAATTCCATAAAGAAAAAGAACAACATTCTGCACAAAGTGGACTCTGTCCAATTTTAAACCTTGAACGAGATAGCACATGATCATTTGCACTCACAGAGGACCTCAAATAATGGGAGAAGAATTTTGCCAGCTCTTAAAAGTCTCATTCAGATTAACCCCTGGAGCTCGGCACTATAGCTGGCACAATGCTTTCACCATAGAGTACCGAAGTGTGACGTCATTTAGAACCAGAAAGTGTAGTGCAAATGAATGGAGTACGCACGCGTGTTGGTTCACGGGCTGAATCACACGCTGATGTCTTTTACACACACATTGTGCGCGTGATGTACTCACTTCGGTACTCTATAACTGGAGATTCCGTGTCATGAGTGTACAGTTATTTGGTATCACAACTCTTATAAGTTAGGAACCTGTCTCGGCCAATTTCATGGAGATGCTTAGCAGAAAGTACGACTTTAGCACGAGATTGTGCTAAGCAAAAAATAAAACAGATGGGGACCAGTCAACAGCAATAGAAACTGCATACCATCATGGCTGGTTACCTGTTTTTGTTAAGCAAATATTTTCCGTGCTTACCACATTTATGTGCTGAGTATAAACTCCATGAAACTGGCCTCGGCTGTAATGCTGCTTACAGTATCCACAAGCGCAGTCTTTAGCGTTTATCAGTTTTTTTCATCTTAGATTTTAATTAGTCGTAGAAAGTCCATGTATAAACTTTGAAGATGTTGCCGTCTTTTTTTTAACAAAGCATGAAAGGGTGATTGTGTACTTAGACAAGTAAATTTGTGTATTTTACCTTCAGAATTTGAAATCTGTTTATAAATAATATAAACTTTGGTGCAGGATTGGGCCCGTTTTCTCCGGTGGGGAGGGCTTGCTTTCACACTTTTCCAAGTGAGTTATTATTTTGCTTTTATGTTTGTTTTGATGGTAAGGGACACATAGACACAACTGAAATTGCTCTTTGGTAAGAACTAAAAAAAAAAGACTATAAAGTTACTGCCTTAGGTTGTAATGCTAGTCAATTTAAGGCTGACAGCGCTTTCACATGCTTTTAAGCTGTGCTTTTATTTTCGGAGGCTCATAAACATGTTGATGAACTGCCCAACTATAATAGTATTAATTGCCAACCCGCTGAATACTATACAGGGTAATACATTCCTATAACTAGGCATAGACGTCCAAGGAACAGACTATTTCTGTTAAAAAGTTGCAAAAACAAACAATTTCTTTCATTTCAAATTCTTTGATAGCCATCCTGAGCAGATTTCTTGCTTCGTTTTGAGTATACACTGTACATGTTACATATTTATAAAATACATGTACAAGTAGTTGAATTAGCAAAGAGTCTTTGTCTCTTTGAGCATATTCCAACAAATTTCACAAAATGAAAGTTAGATCTTATTTTAAAATAATTCTCAAGGAAATTCTCTGCCATTCAGGTATTGTTGTGGCTTCTTGGAGAAGTATAAGAACTCTTTAATTTCGGATTTGCATTTTCTGGAGCACAAAAAGTTTCCTTGAAACAATTGGAAAACATGATATCACAGAATTGAGTACAGTGAAATTGAGCTAGTGAAAAACCTGAAGAAAAAAAAGCTACCTTGCCAAAAAAATGTCCGTACCTTTTCCATTTTGAATGCTGTTATCATTACTGAACAAACCTGACGCTGTATTTAGTGCATAGTTTCATTTTCAAAAACCTCTTAGGTGATGTCTTCACAAGTGAATGTTTGTGATGTTGTTGCTGCTGCATGAGAAAGTATGGAAAGCTTAGATATAAAACTGTATTTGTAGTATACTTGTAAAACTTTATTTTATCAACTTGAAGGAAATCAAATTCTAATCAGGTTTAAACAAAATTGCCAATGAAATGTAGTTTAATGTTATCGTCCTCAGATATACCCAGACCCTATACATGTACTATCTGACAGGAAATTAATCACATTGCTTTCAGCACAGTAGCCTGAAGAGGGTAAAAAAAAATCCATATTTATAACTCATTGTTTAAAAAAAATTACCATGTGAATGTGAGCCATATGAATGTAGTACTTGAACAAATTTGTGTACCTCGTCCTTGTATGTTAAAATATTTACATGTACCATTTTTTTTTGGATTTTATTTTTCATACATTTTAGTACATGTTACTCGTAAACAAAGTGCATTAGGTTTCTGAAAATGTATTGCAGATGTTTCAATCGTGGTAGCCTATCGGATTCGGAGGTATAATCTATAAATTAAATAAAAGTTTAATAATTTAAAATCAAGTCACTTGAAATCAGCCTTTTGGGACAGAGTAATTGAAATACTTTCTAGTACTTGCCTTTTTTTCTATCATATCTCAATTGTCTTCCAATTTTATTTTAATTGTATTCGTCAACATGTGGTCGTTATTACAAAACATGTAACTCAAACAAATTTGGTGTTGAGTAGTTTCAACTTAAAAAGTACGAATAAGCAATGTACAAGCTACAAACATTTCATTTCTAATAGGTTTTCTACAATTTGATTGAAAACATTTTGTGAAAAAGTCAGTGTCAATTTCACAAAACGTTTGGTTCCTACACTTTGTTGTTAGATGTAACGTGCACCCATGAATAATTTCCACTCTGGGTTTAATTTAAAATCAGGTCTACACCATTTTTATATGTTGATTTGTAATACTTTTTGTTCGATAAAAACACCGCATCTCTCACATTGGACAACTCTTTGCTTGTGCCCACTGCCTTTGTAAATCCAAGGGTTTTGGTGATGGCTTACCTTTTTCACAAAATATTGTTCAGTAAACATTGAAATGCATAGGCAGAATACGTACTAAAATTGGTGGGCCATTTAATGTGTGATATCGACCAACGCATAGATGGTCAGAATTACCTAGGACACAGGAGTCAACCTATTATCTTCAAGTAAACTTGAATCCTCGATCCTGATTGTTTGATCCATGGCAACAAGCCGTGCTACATATAACCATGTAGCACGGACGCATATTTCGCTGTTCGAAGATGCGAGCGACAGTCCAGCTGCATACGCTAAACTGCTGAATGTCCGTGTAAAGCGTGCTCATTCCAACTGTACTGCCGTGTCAAGTTTGCTTGAAGATAAATTCGTTATCACGCTCGCGCTCGTGGAACACGAAAAATGTAGTGAGAAGCATCTGTGTCTGTGTCCCACAAAATGTAGCGAGAAGCGTCTGTGTCCCACAAAATGTAGCGAAAAGCGTCTGTGTCTGTGTCCCACAAAATGTAGCGAGAAGGGTCTGTGTCTGTGTCCCACACACCACGAGGCATTATTCCGTGTTCCACTCGCGCTCACGGGATTACTTATAATATAGGTAAAACAGTTGCCTAGTCTCATGTACACATGTATTATGAGGTCAGGTCTCTGGCCTGAAGTGTGCCCCATAACACCAATAAAACAATCTGTCCAGCCATCTCCAGCTCTCTTCATGTGGTGGGTACAAGCTAAAAGCTTTACTTCTTTGCCAAAGATATAATTTATTTCAATAGGTATTCAGAATTTTATAATAAATGCTATGCATATACTTTTGTTTTTAAAACCTTTTATGTTTAAGTTCGCTTTTAAATGGTGCATGTTAAATTGCCATTGATCACATATCTGAAACTTTGGTAATTTTATGGTACTTTTTATTTTGCTTAGTATGGTTATTTTATAATGCTTCACAGATTCCAAGCTTTAGCATGCTCATCAACTCAAGGCTTATTTCCATGATGTTCAAATGTTGTAATCTTTCTTCACAAAGCCACACTGCTTGCAGCGTAGTGTGAAATCCATTCAGATTGAACATAGGGACACCAATGCTGCTGTCATGCTGCATTAGTCATTTATGATTGCCCTGCATGAACAGTAGATGGCGCTCTTTGACCACTTCCAAGAGCTCAGCGGGCAGGACACATTGAACGCTGGTACTTAAGTTATTCTGAATGTGTACAAAGCCTATAGACTAATTCAGCGAACAAAATTGGAAGCCATTCTTGAGGTAACACAACATCCGCGAGCATGCCACATGCGTTCTTAAAGACGAGCCCAGAGTACGCCCCTTCTACCTGAGCGTGACTCGCGCTAGCCTGATGCCACCTCAGAAAATGGCTGTTGCCTGATTAGTCTTTGTGAGCATCATGCAAGTTAGCAATGCATTCGATATCGAATGGCCCTCCCAGTGGTCTCCCCCAACTCTCCCTTTGTAACCGTTGAGGGGGTACTTGTGCACAGAGTCCATATGGACTTGTTCGTTTGACAAAATACGGCCAGTATATTCATGCTCAATGAATAACATACGCATGTGTTGTAGCCATACCTACCATGTCCTGTCAGGATTTCATATGATTGAACAGTATGGGATTTGGGTTTTAAATTTCAAAATGTTACACATTTTTTTTTAATTAGTCTCTGATCAATCTTGAGGTGTATGACTTTGAAATGACTGTAAGATCTTTCTTGAAAAGAAGCAGTTTTCTTTTTTAATTTTTCAGTAATTTTGAATTTTATCCAAATTTGTTGAGATTTAACGTAGACGATACTGTGTATGTAGTGTACAGGCGTATGTGTGTGTAGATTTAGTGCAACAATAAAATATTAAAATGAAAATGTTTTCCACATTTGTTTTTCTTGCTGGTGTAAAGTGGTGGTAGGAAAAATCAATTAATTGATGAGCATATGTCTGCTTCAATGAATAGTCACTATTTATCCGCAAAAATGCACAAAACAGCATACTTCTCATCTAACACAATTTTTTTTATTTGCTTGCTTGCTTGCTTCAACCTATACATCAAACGTTCATTGTTGGATCCTCTTATCTCTTGAAGATTCCATTTGTTTTTCTTTGCAACATCCTTTTTTAAGCATCATATACCAGACCAAACCTCTGTGATTTTCATGGTACAGAACCACTGGTAATTTTTTTTTCAGCAGTAGAAATATCTCAATATCCATGGCGTCCATCACATATGTGTACATGTGCCTGGGGTAAATTGTTTCCAACTATAGCAGACATACATGTATCAGTCTAATTAAGAAAACTTACATGTCTTCTACATATTTATCTTAAGAAGTCTGGTCTTAAACGCCTCCACATTAAACAGTGAATTAAAATATATATATACAGCCTGTACAAATCTGTCTAAACCAAACAATTTTCTCTAATGAACTTAATGCTTTGGAATTCATAATGTATCAGTTCAAAAGGTAGAGGAATGTAAACTGCTCCGTAAAACAGCTTCCAGTGTTAAAATCATTCTCATTCATGAGACGGGAGTTCAAAAAGTTTAAAAGAGTATACTTAAAAAATATGCTACATTTCTGTTCTACTTTTAAACGCTTCATGTATTTAACAAATGTGAAAACTGAAAATTATGTACAGCAATATACAAAGGTGTGTCTATCCATGGAGGTTATTTACAGCTCTCAAAACCACTAACAAAGCGCAAAAATATCACAAGATAATTGAAGTAGGTTGTCTCCCAAAATAAGGAGAAACAAAATTAAATAAAAAGGAGGGAACTCTACATAAAAACAGAAGAATCAATTCCTCTTTCCAAAATGGAAATATTATTGTAGTTTGGAGTTGTGACGTTTCCCGAAAGGTCTCTGCCAAAGCTAAAGATTCTGGGAACAGTGTTAAAGTTAAGTCCATCACAAGTCCCCACAAGTCCAGTGTTCCATTGGTTATTATTCATCCCGTCACTTGTGACTGGACATACAGGGTGAGTAAAAAAATAACACCAAATGTCCGGACCATTTGTTATATTGAAGTTCTGCATGTAGCACTTTCAAAATCTAGGATATGAAAGCCCAATTCATAAGCTTTCTTTTAGTACACGTATCATTCAAATCACTCGTGTAATTTTCAAGTTACGGCATTTTAAACGCAACCACCGTTTTAATGTTCTGTCCACGGATCACAGGTAAGTGTTTTTTGCAGCGAAACAAAACAAATCACATAGGGATGTGTGTGAACTGTTAAAATTCCATAACTTGAAAAGTACATGAGCGATTTGAATGCGCTTTCATATCCTAGATTTTGAAAGTGTTATATGCAGAACTTTGCTAAAACAATGGTCCCGACATCTGGGTTTCGTTTTTGTTTTTTGACTCGCCCTGTATGAAAGTACTTGTGTTGGACTCGACTACAACACTGTCTGGGAAAAGTGATAACTGTGCTGAAAATATTAGATATGCAGTGCGGACAAAAGTATCCCCGTTATCACCGCTACACTAGGGATGCCAGTGGGTTTCTGCTCCAGGCCCTGACAAATTTGACGTGGATAAACAAACCAATCGCAATACACCATAAGCACATTGCAGTACCACTAATCACATTGCAATATGTGTACTTTGAACTTACAATTCATACATTTGCGTATCCAACTAGCATGGCAACTACCATGGAGCATCGCGTGCACAATGTTTTCTCTTTGCGTGCTACACAAGGATTTATTTTTCCAGCCTGTGAAGGGATGGAATACCTGACTTTGTTTTTCCAAAACATCAAAAAAGCCTGAATTCAGGCTATAACCTCAAAACTGGCATCCCTGCCTATAAGACGGTAAGGGTGCGTGTGGGTTCACAAGTTGATCATTCATGATGCGACTCGCCTGCAAAGCGAACGACTCGCCCCCGAGAAGCGTGCGACAGGCGCCGAAGCCAGCTTCTCTCGCGTAGTTGGCGAGGCAAATAGAGAGCTATGAATTGAAAGTTGAAGCCTGATCAAGAGATCTGATACACCGTGCCCTCTGGAGACGTGTACAATAGGGAACAAAAGATTGTATACGTCTCCACAGGGCAATTTCTATAGATGAATACGTCTCCACAAGGTTTTCACGAAATAGATATATGGATTTTACTCAAAACTAGGAATTTCCAAGGTGGGTTGATCAGTCGCAAATGGAAGAGTTTGAGAAAAGGGATTTTAAGTCCGAATTTCAGCCAAGGAAATTAATTCTGGTTAAAATAAGAGCATTTTGAAACTTTACTTTCAAACTCGAAAACTTCTCGAAAAAATTTCAGTATGTGTGTTTGTGTGAAAGGCAACACTTGATGAGAGGTTCACCATTTACACACAACTGAAATGTGTGTGACTGTACACTGTACTTTGGCCACCATGTAATTTTGGTGAGCTTTACGCTGGCATCCAGCCTAGTGTCATCTTTGCTTTCAACTGACTGACTGTCTGCTGACTTACAGTCGCTTGTAACTGATGGTAGACTGGTGAAGTAACGCCAATGAATAGGCAAAATCCAGGCCGTGTTCACAGACCAGTGAATAGCCACTCTAAATCGACTAAACAGAAACTCATGCACTCTGGGAACAGCTATACTGAGGTTGCCTTGTCTCATTTCATTTGTGCGTACGAGAACAAAAATGAGCCAAAGCCAATCTCTGTGGTCCTACAGCAGGAGATTTATCCGCTAAACAAATCTGACAAAAACTTCACAAAATTTAAAACAGCTTTTAGCAATTTGCAAGCACTACTCAAAATCTTGCATCTGAAATACATGTGCATTAATATAAAAACCTGAAGTACAATGTACAAGCAATTAAAAGAATTAGTTTACAATGCGCTGATGCCACGGCGTGCCATGAGAGTGTCGGCTCGTTTGTTTGCTCGGTTCTGCTTGGCTCCTGCTCGCCTGTTGTCACGAGTCTTGAGGGTGGGTTTCTTCAAGACGTTGGCTTTGGCCTTCTGGATGTTAGATGTGGCCTGGAAGCGTGTTGACACCTCCAATGGCTTTAGTTTACCTGTTGGGCGGCAAAAATAACATAAATTTTTTGAAACTTTTTAAAAGATTCTAACTTTTTTTTTAAAGTTTTCGCTTGCTATCTTTCTCATTGATGCAGTGGCTTTAGGTACCTCGTTGGTTTGCAAAAATATGTTTGTTTTTTTATTGAATTTTTTTTTTAAAGTGTGTTGATGTGTTATGCTTGTCGTTCTCATTGATCCACTGTCTGTGCTATTTTTTAGCTTCATCCCAGAAAATATTTATTTTAATTGCTATCTATGTAGCAATACAAAAGTTTGACCGATAGGTTCGTATGCTAAAGCAACCACAAAATTAAAAGACATTTTTGCAGAGGGTTTCAGATGCCCAAAATAGGAATACAAAGAATTGAATTCGCTGAAGAACAAGTCTGTTTAAGACTGGCTTGGGAAATGGACGCTGATAATGGCCAAGCCGAAGACGAGGGATATTATCAGCAGCGAGGGATATTATCGGTGACCAGGCCCCACGCTGGTCTTAAACAGACTTGTTTAACACTGGCCAAGCACATATTTATTCCCATTCATAAAAACCTCTACGGTCAAAAAAACAAAATAAGTCAAAAATTTCAACGATTTAGTTCAACAATTTTACTTCATGTTTTTCAAAACACCCCTCTAGCTATGTTATGGTATGTGCCTCTCGCGAGTAGTTGCAATTAGCCCCTTATTATTAGATTGGCGCGTGTGTGGCGCGTACTGCGTGTTGTGACGCAGAACGCTGCGGTGCTGTGATGCAGAACGCTGCGGTGCTGGTGTACTGTGAATTTAGGACTCTCAAAATACTGACTCACTGGTAGTATTGGGCATGCCGAAGTGAAGACTGTGAACGTTCAACCAATAAAAGGGTAAAAGGGACCAGACTTCATAGGACACCAAATTTCATGTGACACCGGAAAAGTGTTTAAAACCAGCCAGCCGGTGTTTTATCAACTGTGACGGGCTATCGACCAATGGGAATCTTCTATGAATTATATTTAATAACTCAAAGTGCACAAAAGAAACCTAAAGAGAACCTATTGTGTTGTTTTCAACACACATTTTAATTCCATACCTGTATGTGGCTTGTATGACAGTGGCTTGTTGAGTGATGCTTTAAGATCAAACATAGGTTTACTGACGGTGTCAGCGGCTGGGGTTGTAGCTGTTTGTCCAAACTTGAACGGGGTGGCAACTAAGAGAAACAACATTAAAGGTTTGGCACTTGGTTTTTTAGCAAATATAAATAATTACATTTTTACCTTGTTTGCCTTTTTATGTCTGAGTTGTAAACTAGATTAACGCAAAGAAAATGCATGTGAAAAGCAGTGTTGTAGTCGAGTCCATCACAAGTCCAGTCACAAGTCCAGTCACAAGTCCAGTCTCAAGTCCAGTCACAAGTCCAGTTACAAGTCCAGTCACAAGTCCAGTCTCAAGCCCAGTCACAAGACTAAATGTAACTACATGTACATGAACAATGACAAGGCAATGCTTTTGCAACAGTTCATTTGAATATGACTTGACTTGAGACTGAAAGACTTGGGATGGACTTGTGATGGACTTGTGATGGACTTGTGATGGACTTGTGATGGACTTGTGATGAACTTGTGATGGACTTGTGATGAACTTGTGATGGACTTGTGATGGACTTGTGATGGACTCGACTACAACACTGGTGAAAACTGATTCTTACAGTGCTGAATAAAAAGTTGACTCGAAAATTGAAAGCATGTTTCATTCTGATTACTTTTGATTTTTTTTATTGCATTTTTTTACCAAAAGGTTATCTCTTTCTTTAAAAAAAAAGCAGATGGGTTAAGCCCCGCCCACAACACACAGGGGCAACAACATGTACGCCTCGCTAATGCCACACTGCATGTTCAAGATGTGCACATCATATGCAAATGCAAGCACGTCATACATTTATGCACATTAATCACGGATGTGATTGGTCAGCATCACAGGGAAGGGCTTAGTGAATTGGTATGTTGCATGAATCCTTGTATTTCCTTGTTTTCTTGTAGCCACCGCCTTGAGTGGCCTTTGGCATTATGGTTGATCTCATTTTAAAAAAAGAAAAAAAAGAAAAGAACGTAGATTAATAGTAATGAGATCAACATTATTGCAACTGTTGTCCGACTTCATTTTTGCTTACCTCCGATGGACTTGCGATTATCCCTCGCACTCTCTCCAATGGACTTGCGAGAAGCAAAATCCAGTACTGGTTTCTTGGCCGATGTGTCGATGACCGAGACAGATTTGCGAGGTCCGGGGGTGGATTTGCGCTTCTGTTTGGGCTCTGCGCCCCCAGCAAGGAGAACAGCGGCCCTGGTTGGGGTCTTCAAACGAGACACCTTTGGAAAAAAAAACAGGAATTCATATTTTTAATTCTGTAAACGTTTGCAAAATTTCATGCATCAGTTGAACGTTTAAACCGTTCAGCCAAATCTTTTCAAAGGCTTCTGCATGATTGTGTGTGGGTGTATATAGGGGTGGCATTCAGAATTTATCATGAACTGGTAACATAATAAACTGCATACAGTGTTAAATGGTTGACACCAGTGATGTAGTCGAGTACTTTGCCATGAAGACTGCGAGTACTTTGCCACGAGTATGAGTGCGAGTACTTTGCAATGAGTACGAGTGCGAGTACTTTGCCATGAGTACGAGTGCGAGTAACTTTGCCATGAGTACGAGTGCGAGTAACTTTGCCATGAGTAAGAGTGCGAGTACTTTGCCATGAGTGCGAGTGCGAGTACTTTGCCATGAGTGCGAGTGCGAGTACTTTGCCATGAGTGCCAGTGCGAGTACTTTGCCATGAGTGCGAGTGCGAGTACTTTGCCATGAGTGCCAGTGCGAGTACTTTGCCATGAGTGCGAGTGCGAGTACTTTGCCATGAGTGCGAGTACTTTGCCATGAGTGCGAGTGCGAGTACTTTGCCATGAGTGCCAGTGCGAGTACTTTGCCATGAGTGCGAGTGCGAGTACTTTGCCATGAGTGCCAGTGCGAGTACTTTGCCATGAGTGCCAGTGCGAGTACTTTGCCATGAGTGTGACGAGTACTTTGCCATGAGTGCGAGTGCGAGTACTTTGCCATGAATACGAGTATGAGTACTTTGCCATGAGTGCCAGTGCGAGTACTTTGCCATGAGTGCCAGTGCGAGTACTTTGCCATGAGTGTGAGTTTGAGTACTTTGCCATGAGTGCGAGTGCGAGTACTTTGCCATGAATACGAGTATGAGTACTTTGCCATGAGTGCCAGTGCGAGTACTTTGCCATGAGTGCCAGTGCGAGTACTTTGCCATGAGTGTGAGTTCGAGTACTTTGCCATGAGTGCCAGTGCGAGTACTTTGCCATGAGTGTGAGTTCGAGTACTTTGCCATGAGTGCGAGTGCGAGTACTTTGCCATGAATACGAGTATGAGTACTTTGCCATGAATACAAGTACGAGTACTTTGCCATGAGTGCGAGTGCGAGTACAAGGCAATTTTTTTTATGAGTGCCACTACTTTCCACAAGTAGGAACAAATTTCAATTTGTCTCATGCCTTCAAGGGCTTTTTGCTATCAAGTAGAAAACTTATTCTTTTCCAACATGTAGCTATTAATTTTTTTAAAAATTTCAAAGAGTACAAGTTTGAGTACTTTGTCATGAGTATGAGTACGAGTATGGGTATTTGTTTTCTTGCGAGTACAAGTATGAGTACATTTTCATGAGTACGAGTATGAGTATACGTACCAAACAAATGTACTCGAGTGCGAGTACTACAACAGTGGTTGACACAATAGATAGAGACTGTTGTTGGTAACTGTGAAGTGCATTGGAAACCCCCAGTGCTTGTAAAGTTAAAAAGTTTAGAGAATATTGAGTATCCGCATAAGCATACCACTCCAAACCACCCTGTGCTGCCCACTACTCCCTGTAGCGTCCGAAAACGCATGACGACTCTATGGTTGTATGATTCATCAGTGAATATACACAATGTAATGCAATGTTTTGACGGTACTAACAGGTTAAACTGCTGGGCAAATTTAATTTTTTGTTTTTTGTTCATTTAAATATTTAAAACGTCTCATTCATACCTTAAATGTAACGCTCTTGACTGCTGGGGCCTTGCTGGTGGGGGCCGGCCCTGAAGTGCGCCCCTTGGTCCCTGGTCTCTTGATCCCTGATGGCTTGGGGGAGTTGAAGGGCAGATTAGATGGGCGGACCCTGGAGACGGGCTTGGCAATCTGGTTTGGGTGGAATGAAAAGAAAACTATGTTCAAAACTTACCGTTTTGACATTGTGACCAGATCCCATGATAGGAGTCTTGAGGGCATACACGGCCATTTGCTTTTTCAATCATATATTTTGTTTGTTTTCAATTGTAAAACCACGCAAAATCCTAAGACGACTGTTCAAAACCCAACCTGTTGAAGTTTCAGCTCAGTGGATACTACACTGTTGAAGAACACAGAGAAAAATCGTTCACAATCTTTGGATCACAAAAGCCGATTTCGTCTATATAACTTTTTCCAAAAAGTAGTCCATATGATCTTTGTAAAATCACCAACATTTCTTGATTTCTTCTAAATGAAATAATAATAATTAATAATTTCATGGGGCGTTTAGAACCAGTACAAATCTTTAAACCACATAAGCTTTTTGATAATAATTCGGTAGGTTACTTTTGGGATAAATGCAAATGATCCTATATGCCTTTAAACAGGCTTCACCTCTCAGTTTTAATGTGCAATAGATAGAGGACATTTTCAGTGGTCTTCACTTTGACAGTTTACCATACTTTGGGAAGTGTTATCTTGGTATGTCGATCCTTTGTGACTGGTTGTGACGCATTGGAAAAATGAAGTTGCAAACTGAATTTCATGCAATTTGTTTCAAAGCAGTTGATAATGATGAGGCAGAGAATGTGTTTTGGCCTTTTTCCAAATCTCGGCTTTCTTTTGGATTTCAGCTCTTAATTCAGGCTCCAGATTCATCACTAAACATTGATTGTTGGCACGAAACCAAAAACCAGGCATGCGACTGGGAAATTAAGAAAAACGAGGAAATTCCAAACCACACAAGACTATGTACAGTATTTTTCAATTTGTAATGGCATTCATGAGAAGTAAAAAACGAGGAAATCAGCAGATCCCAGGAAAAGTTGCATGCCTGAAAAACACTCCAAGCTAGCGACAATTTTAATCTTTCTGAAGGAGAGAATGGAACAATACTGAGCAGGAGGATCTCAACTTAGGCACCAATATCAACAAAGCTGAATGCTGAAGCTGGAGACAGAGTCGCAGTTTAAATAACAACCTAGCATTGCTACTGACTTTAGCTGCACTGCCCTGTGGTGTGCGATGGGAGGTCAAGCTCTGAACGGCTACCCTGGTCTCATCCGCAGTCAGCTACAAAACAAGCAACCAAAAAAATGTGTTATCTTATGCATAGTTCCTCCTTTTTGTAAAAGCAATGATTTCATCAGACTCTTCTGACAACCAGATCTGGGGATTCACATAAAATTCAAAGGTTTTTTTCTGTACTATCAGTATGGAAACACAGAATGAAGTTTTTGCCAAAATGTGCGTCTTAACCCTAACAGAACTCAACCCATCAAACCCCAAGGGCATGTTTTGTTGGAATCTGTCAGGATGGGTACAGTACCCCTAAACTGACAGTCTTTTACATTGGATTGGGCACAACTCCAGATTCAAAGTCAGAAATATGTATGTGCAGTTTCTCATATGGTGTTGGAATTTGCCAGGAGGGGTATGGTTTCTAGTAAGGAGTTAGTTGGGGTTAATCTTTCGGAATTTCTAAAAGAGCATGACTGATGATAAACTTTAACACAATATTTACCTACAAAAACTATAACTTGAGGAATTATTTTGAGGACAATTTAAAATACATGTATCACTGACGACTGTATAAATGTGAATGAAACACCTACAAACCAAAACAAAAGGAAACTGCTGGATTAAGCATTGAAAAGTTGTAAGAGCACAATCAGCTCAAAATGTATTAGCTATATTAACTGAACAACTAAATGAACACAAAGTACTAAATACATGTATTCTCTCTTTCGAAACCTTTTACAAGCTCAATTTTTTAGCATTTTGGGATAGGGTGGACACAATAAGTCTCGTTCAAATGACGTCATTTCCTACAGACCAGCCACGTGCATCGGCTTTTTCTAGCGTCAACTTGCATAACACGCATCGGCTGCGTCGTATTTCAAGCACATTTCGAGCAACAAGCGCGCGTGTTTGGAACATTTTCAACACTGCACAATGCGTGCTTGATTGCGTCAAATATGCAGTGGCAGTTCTCCTACAGAAATGGCCGTCATTGAGCAAGCCAGATGTTTGGCGCAATTTGGATTTGTGTGAACCTTTTGCATTGGCGCCAAACTTACCCAAACAAAATATGGTCGTGCTAGTGTGTCCTCCATATCTCAAAAGGGGCTCATTAGCGCCCCCAATCAACAACCATCAAGTTGCTACTTAACAGGGCACCAGACTTACTAACCTTGGCTCTCTTCACTGATGCAGACAACGTCTCTGTTCGTTTGCGCTTGCGGGCCACGTAGTCATCGATGGACTCCATCTTGTCAAACTGGGCCTGGTGGATGCGGCTCCAGTCCTTGTTGCCGGGGGTGATGGGCTTGCTGGGCTTGTTCATTACAGTCCTGGGCTTGGGAATTCGGCTTTGTAGAGACACTGTCAACAATCCATAAAACAAATGGTGAAATCTAGGACTTGGAATGTTGGCGTACAAAGAAACAAATGAAGAGTGCTTCAAACGCCCTTTTTTTCACCTTATTGGCACCCTCTTGTGGCATGCGTAGTTGCCAAAAGTAAGTTTTGACAGGTTTTTCATAGTTAAATAGGATTAACAATTCATAATTTTCGTGTCGGGTAGATGTAAATCAAATTAGGTTTTGCCCTTCACCAACGTATAAACACTGTACACTCAGTGTGTGACCTCCTGAGTGAAAGTTGGAAAAATATCACTTGGGTGGGACTCAAACCCAAGACCCTCTGCTTTCTAGTGCAGACGTCTTACCACTCGACCTACGAGCTTACGGGATCGGTTGGCTGGTTCGAATCTGATGTACATAGCAGCGGGAACCGCAGTTAACTATTCATAAGATGGAATTTTTGCGTTGGGGAGATGTAAATCAATATATTAGGCTTTGCCCTTCACCGACGTATAGACACTGTGTACTCAGTGTGTTACCTCCCGAGTGAAAGTTGGAAAAAATCAAAACTTCGAACCCACGACCTCCTGTTTTCTAGTGCAGACGTCTTACCACTTGTTATATTCAACACAAACAGCTCTTACTATATTGTTTACGTTCTATGTGTTGTTACAACAGTGCAACTCTCCCACTCTGATTAATCAATTAGTCATAAAGCATTTAAGAAATAACCATTGATGGGATGACAACAATCTTCTCCAGGAATCCCCCACATGGCAATCAGAGAATTATGATCTGGGATGCCAACCCTGGATTTCTGTACATGCCTTGTGTGGGTTCAATAGGTAAGTAGCACACACAGACAAAAATGTCAATACTTGTAACCCCCCCCCCCCCCCTCCCATCCCTTCCCAAAAAACTCAATTGGTAGAGTACCAAATATGGTATTTATTGGAGTTGTTGGCACTTTGCATAGCAATGGGATCATACACCAGCAAAAAAAGGCAACAACTCACAATAGAATTTTCTTCATAAAGGTGAAAGACCACAAAGGCTTAGGGTGAAAGTTTCCTAAGAATTTTTGTCATTACCATGTGGGTTTGTCCCACAAGAAATACACCCAAAAATACCATTTCACGCAAAATACACTCAAACTTCCTTGGAAAGGATGCATATGGGCAATTCCACGATTACTCGCGTTACATTTTTGATGTACTTTTGAGTTTCCTTGGGCTGTAATTACCTTACGGAAAAGGTTTAATAACTGTTATCCCCATGGTAGATAGAGTAGACCTAGACCTACCTAAGCACCAAAGATGACATCCAGAAAAATGTGTTATGTATGATAAACAAGACGCACAAAATCGGTTACTCACGTTACATTTTCGTAATATGCATGTACATGTTACCTGACTACAAATACTAAAGATGCACTACATTTATGTATAAATATGATTTTGTAAACAAGATGTGATTAGTGTTAACTTTGCCGTCTTACGTTTTTCTGCTGCCTTTTGCTCAAGTTCAGCCATGATAGCTTTCTTCATTTCCGGATCGGCTTCAGGTCCCTTCTTGGTAGCTTCCTGAGCTGCAGCCTGCTCTTGCTCAATCTCATACGTCCGACGGCGACGAACGGGGACGTCCACAACGGGCTGGCCCTGCTGTGCTTTCGGGGTGACGCTTCGTGTCTTCCTTCGCACCGAGGGCTCAACTGGCGCTGGGGTGATTTTGGTCGCAGGGGCGACACTTTCTGTCTTCGGTGTGACGCTCCGTGTCATCCTGCGAAGGGGTAATTCAGCTGCAGACGCGAGGGTGTTTGAAGAGCTAGTCGGGCCCTGTGCCTTGGGCGTGTTACTCTTCGCTGCTACGCTTGGCTGTGTTGGTGCAGAGCATGCTGCTGGGGTAGCCGTTTTCTATTTCAGGCAGAATGATTTTTTTTAAATTGAATGCAACAAAAATTGCATGTGACTTGCTAACATATAAAGCAAAACTGGGCTATAAGTCAGTTGTAGTGAAACAACCTTGCTACCAAAAGGTTGACACATTTCCAAACGAATAAAAAAAAAATTCTCCACAAAGATTGCCTGATCATCTGGCGTATCAATTTGATAGGTACATTTGTGACCTGTTCTGTCAAAATCAGACTTTTCTGGGCATAAGGTCAAAAATGGGATTTTTGCATATTGTCAAAAAAAGTTCTTTTGCCTTTTAAAGGGAATATACATCATTTGCTTTTGCTGTAATTTTCAGAAATGGATGGAATTGGGGGGTTGGAAATATATAGCAAATATAGTTACACTGACTTTTTTGAGGTTTTGGGTTCGAAAATGCTATAAAAACCAAGAAAAACAATCGTTTTCCTGTAGTCTGGTTCCCTGACTCCATTTAAGAAGAAACAGAGCAGTTTACATATATTGGGGAATTGTAAGGTCAGGGAACCAGTCTAGCTGGCTTGTACCCGTTCATATAGGTGTGTAATCGATTGCAAACAAGTGCGATGGTCAACTGGGGCCAGTATTTGAAAAAAGCCAGTTTTTTCCAACGCTGATCGGCCGATCAGCGTTGGAAATTGATACAAAAATACCACTTTTCTTGAAAATGACAGTATACCAGGTGCCATGATTTTACAGGATGCTTTACACTGTCATTCACTAACAGTCCAGCAAGGTATTTCAAAATGATTTGGTAGTTTTATTTTTTGATGTTTGCAAATGTTGTATTTTCCCTTTAATAGGTGGTTTAAGTTTTGAAACCGGTCGTTCCTGGGCAGATTTATGCTATTTTGAAGTTCATTGTGTCGAAAAGTAGAAAACGGAAAAAATGGCCACGAACGTCACAAAACAGTAATTTCTTTAACTGATATACCTTAGCAAATCATCAAAAATACTGTAATTAGAGATCAAATTAGGGTTTCAAACTTTTATTGTATATTTTAGACATGTGCAGGATTACAAATATGCAAAAATTAGATAATCCCAAAAAATCACCCCCACAGCGTTTTTTGGCCCGATCTCAATTTCAACCTCTGCCCAGAAGCATCTGCTTTTGACAGAACAGGTCACATTTAGGAGTTGCTGTCGACGCTAAGCATATACATGTTGTAGTTTTTCAAAAACAAGGTTATTCCACCAGTATAATGAACACTCAATGCAACACATCAATGGACATCTAGTGTTTTTCGCAACTTTTGAGCACAACCTCATACATGAAGGTCCCGACCCTTAGCAATTGTAAAAATCTGTAGTGCAGCCAAGAAAAAGAACTGTCACTGAGATTCAGTTAATCAATTCATTTTTACATACGTACTCTTAACAAGGTTGAATTTTGATCTTTTCCTAGAAATGTGGGTTCCAGAAAAAACAGGAATGGGTGACCAATAAAATGGAATTGGGTACCATTACCATAGTTAGCATTAGGGATTCTTGGTTCAGAGATGTGATACATACTTGCTCTGGTGTCTTGGTCGCTGACTTGGCTGATGCCTTGGTACGCTTACGGCCCTTCCTTCCTTTGCGGACCGTCTTCTTTGGCGGAGTGCTCTCACAGTTTGTCTGTTCAGGTTGCTGCTGCCAACATAATACACTGACTTAATTCACTGGCCACAGATTTATGTCATACCTAAAACATATCATTTGCAGCTATTACCCCTCATTTTGTTTGATCAGTCACAGACAGTCAAACATTCAATCCTGTTCCCTGCCATGCCTTTTACACAGGCTAGTCACCAACAGTCAGATCATATTTCTTGTAGGCACTGTGACAGTCAAATTCCATCAACAGACAAAAGCAGGTGACTGGTAGGCACAGCTGGCGTATCAATCTCCTACAGTCAAAGCATAGCTATATCAGGTTTCATAACAATCACAGCCAGTCAATCCTGCTGTATGTAGGCAGTGAGCACTCAACCGTTAAAAACAGTCACTTGATTTATTTTGACTGCTGGGCTGGTCTTGTTGAATTGCCAGCCTGAGAGGGAGGGTTTTAATATCTCAGTGATGGACCAATAGTTCAAATAAAAAACAAAGCAGTCCAACAATTTTTGTTTTTATCAAAGTCAGTGAAGAAATGTTCAATAATCTGTCTTGATGTTGCACAAAACACAATAGGAACTTACAACCTCCCCCCCCCCATAAAAAAAAATTGAAAAAAGGGGTATTGGTTTGCATGTTCTGTATAGAAATAGGGTCGAGTATATCTGATGATTTGAAGACCTACATGTTTCCTTTTTGCAATTTAGAATTAGGCCTTCATAAGAGATTGTTTTTTCCAGTCAATTGTCTTTGAAAACACCGTCTTTTTAAGTTGTTAGAATCCCACAACATTGTGAAAACTGTCATCAGTATTTACTTCATTTGCTGAGGTCCCTGCATACTCCGACGCTGAAGCAGCAGACTCATCTCCAGTTGAAGTGTCTTCACTGCAAGATGTGCCTTCCGCACTGGGCAATGTGTCCATCTCATAAAGCTTCCGCAAAGCTTGGATAATGGCATCCGTCTGCAACATTAACAGTACAAAAAAAGTTGTGTTAGAGTAACTTGAGCAGAGGGTGATATTTTCAATTGGAAACCTGACTTTTTCCAAGCATACATCAAAGATATATTTTCCCAAACAAAATTAGATGTATTCTTGTACCACGCCTTGTCATGAAACAGTCGTAGGCGCATCCCCCGATCTACATGCGGAGTTTGTTTTTCGGCACTGGTCACGGTCGTGTCCCTACTACCATAGACAATGCATTAGTAGTACTAAAAAGTAGATCACAGCCATAATGTTTTTGAATGATCGCTGTATGATGTCTGTCAGTGTCTGTGCAATAGTGGTTGAATTTCACGGATTTTCAACCCAATAAATATTCATGAGTATCATTAAAGCCCCATTACTTCGTCTTTGACATGTGGAAATGCCAGTAGGTGCTTTGGCTTTCAAAGGTATTTTTGTCAAGTAGCCTATCTTGCGTGATTTTTGTGGTGAACTTTGAAATTGTTACATTGACAATACTTCCGTCATTGTCCGTAGTGGGACGCTACAGTACGACAGACCAACATCCCAAATGTCAAAAAAGGAGTTCTAGCGCCCCAGTTAGTGGGACTATCTTGGACCCAACTTAGGCCTATCGCCTTTTTAACATCCGGACATTCATGACATTGTCTGGTGACCATCACCAGACCATGTCCATCATGTCCATGATATCCAAATGTTAAAAAGGCGATAGGCGGCCTATCGCCTTTTTAAAATTCGGCTAAAGTTGGGTCCAAGTTCGGCCTACTCGGACTTCGTTAGAGTTGCCACTTCTTAATCTTTTTTTAATAAAGACTTATTGTTATGGCAGTGTATATTTTGCCGGAGACGGCAAACCTTTAGTAAACGTTAGTTTGCCGGATATGCACTGAACATGCGCAGTTACTGTTTTTTTTTACTTAAACATTTTCCGGTGACAAGTTTTAGTCTGGCTCCATGCCAAAATTATCGTTGTTACCTCGTATTCACAAGATGGGATTCAGACCATTTTATAATTTCGGACTTTATTTCCCTTTTAAAAAAAATCCTCCAGAGCCACAAATCTGAAAAAGAAAATGTAGGCCTAATACTCTGCAAAAAATGTTTGAGACATGTTAAAATAATAAAAGAAGAATATTCTTATTTATTTGGGCTGGGGATGAGAAAAAAACCTTAAAAATGTGGTGCGGTCAGAATCGAACGCAAGTCATCCCGCTTACTAGCATGACTAGAGCCTTTGCTTAACCATTACACCAAACGTGCTACACAACTTTTGGTCATGTTTGTTGGTGGGAATTTAATACATCTTATAATTCAGCCCTATTTTAAAGAGTACAGCGCCCTCTGTTGATATGGATTGCCGCCGGCAAACCTTTAGTAGCCTAATCGTTAGTTTGCCGTCATTACCTCCGGCAAAATATCCACTATCTATTGTTATTGCAAAAATGTCCCCCAAAAAAGGAATCTGGGACTGAGATTTGACTTTGAGAAACATTGTCAATGAACAATGTCATTTCCAATTTTGTTTGGCAACGTTAGGATTAAGAAATAACTTAGGGGCTAACTAAGCATGCTTTTAAAAGTTTTATTTAAAAAAAAATGTTCTTGACTCGATCTCCATAGACTTTGAACACAACCACAGACATGGCTGACACAGTGACATGAGTGACATGGCCTGAAAAAGTGAAAATGAAATGGCGACTAGGCCTTATTCCTCCATGGGCCTACGGACTATCCGGCCGACCATGACTAGCCTACCTTCATATTTGCTTTTATCCCAGCCTTTTTGGCAAGACGCTGAAGTTCAGCACGCTTCATTCCCTCCAATGTAGCGGGATCATCCATTCTGAATGCCACGGTATAGCGGAAAAAGCGAACAGGAGATAAACAAATCTAAGCTGGATAGTGGGAAAGTTCTATGCGGAACGCAAGTTATCAGGTTATTAACATGGAGGAATAAGGAAGTTCATGCAGTTCGTTGTATCATGTTACAAACTGCTGAAGTAGCCGTTGATAACGTTCAAAACCCCCGCTGAAACACCACCGATTGGTTAATCTCAGTAATAGTGACAGCTGATTGGACAATCTTTGTGAAATTTCAACAGCCGACGGCTGATGCGTGATTGAGGAGCGCCCTCAAGCGACAAGTGCTGTTTATAAAAATGAATAATTGAGGGCGTCCTGTTTCATTTACGGGCCATTCTTTCCCCGTCCCATAACTTCGGTAAATGATGAAGGTCCTTCTTTTGAGTTAACCGGTTTCCAACTGTTTTATTTCCTCCAAAGTTATAGTTTGTAGGCCTACCCGACTTTTTTTCGATAGCTCGAGTTCGGTCAAGTGGTGTTATCTCTCACTTACAATGAACAAAATCCAAGCAGTGGCGTTAACATGGGGGCCAACCGCTGAGGGACAGGGAAGGGGTATGCATCCCGCTTTTAAAGTTGGAGGGGGGGGGGATATCATACCGTTTGTCCCCTCCCCCCCCCCCCCCACACACACACACACACACACACAGACACACACTTTTTCGTCCCCGAGTAGAACTTGTTGTCTACATTTGATTCTATAGCTCAGGATAGCCGATTCAATTACTCCAAACTTGATGTTGAAAATGATGATTTTTGCTCCAAGAAATTGGTAAAAAAGATTAGAAATTGCCTCCGATCGCAAAGCGTTATTTTCCCCGCCCCTAAAACAAAAACGATTTCAAACCCACTGCATGTTAAAACCCACTTTATACATGTACATGTAATTATTGGATTTTATATTACATAAAGTTGGAATTTAACATTATTAATGTGTGGGAATAGCGATAATATCAATATTCAGGGTTTGATTATTATTGGCAGACGATTTAATTCGCAACTTCTCCAATTCATTGGCCAATTTGTTTTACTGCAACAGGTAGATCTTCTTAGGGTATGCTATTCAGTCACCGTCAGCCTTGCTGAGAGTTGCATGGTTGAGTTCGCAGATCATGACGCCATTGGCTTGCTCGATAGAGGCTAGGCCTAGCACGCTGCTGGGGGCGGGTTTCAAAATAAAAATCACCAAACTTGCATCCACCTTTATGACCTTTAAATGAAATTGTCTTTAAATTTGAAGGCTTTTGACTACCTCATACAAATTTGATTACGGAAGTTAGGTTCGATGTCACGATTGTACTTTCAACTTTAGTTTGCATTGTCTTGACGTCTTAATTTTACTTGCAATCCGAAGATTATGTTGAAAACATGTTCGAGCGGGAACTGGACAACTTTACAGTGTTTGAAGCTGTATGCAAATATGTAAAAGTGTGAAAGTGTCCGAAAGACATGCCATTAATGCCAGGTACAATCCAATCTTATTTTTCGTAGAAGAAACAGTTTGCCCGATTTCCGATGCCATTACCGTCAACCTGGTAGAGAGTTGCGTTGTTGAGTTGACAGATCATTACTCCACTCCGCCAGCCTGGTCGAGAAGATTGAAGGACTGGCACAGAGGCTCGGCCCAACACGCGAAGCCACTCTTGAAACCCTCGAACTTGAAAGCTCATGATCTCGTGGTTGAATAGACCATTTTATTCCTCCATGAATAGACACATCTGCGGTACTTGGATGAAGCGAGTAGGTAACCGGCAGTGCCCGCTAAGGGAGCTTTCGTTTCACATGCAGCAAAGTAAAGCTCATCGCAAATGTCGTCGCCAAAATTCCCATCAAACTTTTCCGACAACTTGACACAATCCTCATGTCCGAGGCTAGGCCTGTTTCAGTGTAACTCGGTTCCCCATCTCCCCAAGTTGAGTAATTTTGACTTCCTTTGTTACTACCATCGCAGATTAGCTGTCCGGCCCTCTGTTTGCAACCGATCCACATAAGTCCTCGTCAGTTGTCATGCCATGTTGTCCCATCCACAACTTCATTTCTCTCCAAATAAAGTCAAGTTCTTGCTGTGAATTGGGAACGGCCAATGTGGTGCCACGCCTGAAGCGCTCTCTTGAGGAGTCGTCGTACTTCCTCCTAACGGACAGCCAGATGTAGCAGGATTCTTGCCATCTTATCGAGCCAGATGGGCAGATGGTGGGGGACTGATAAACAACACACGCAGAATAATATTGAAGAGAGCAACACTTATCGCCCCATTTCCTGCCATACGACTCATCCATCCTGATACAATCTTCAGGACTCTGCAGGGTACTGCTCGGTTCATTCCCTCCCCAATTTGTATTGCCTCATTTCCCTCCAAAGGAAATCATGTTCTTCCTGGGAATCGGGAACGACCATTGTGGCGTTGCGCTCGGAGCAATCTCTCGAGGCTTCTCCGAAAAGATACCTACCAAGTGGCAGGAGATAGCAGGATACTTGCCACTTTATCCAGCCCACTTGGCAGATTGCCCGAGGCTGATCTAAAGCCTCGCCATCCTCTAACGAAACTATAAAAAGAATCACCACACAACCACAGAAAACCGACATTCATGAAAAGGGTTGCGATCTTGTTTAAAGGGAAAATACAACATTTGCAAACATCAAAAAATAAAACTACCAAATCATTTTGAAATACCTTGCTGGACTGTTAGTGAATGACAGTGTAAAGCATCCTGTAAAATCATGGCACCTGGTATACTGTCATTTTCAAGAAAAGTGGTATTTTTGTATCAATTTCCAACGCTGATTCGCCGATCAGCGTTGGAAACAACTGGCTTTTTTTTTCAAATACTGGCCCCAATTGACCATCGCACTTGTTTGCAATCGATTACAAACCTATGAACGGGTACGAACCAGCTAGACTGGTTCCCTGACCTTACAATTCCACAATGTATGTAAACTGCTCTGTTTCTTCTTATATGGAGTCAGGGAACCAGACTACAGGAAAATGATCGTTTTTCTTGGTTTTTATAGCATTTTCGAACCCAAAACCTCAAAAAAGTCAGTGTAACTATATTTGCTATATATTTCCAACCCCCCAATTCCATCCATTTCTGAAAATTACAGCAAAAGCAAATGATGTATCTTCCCTTTAACACAGGCAGAGCTAGAGAGGAACGTGTACAAAATAGGTGGAGGCGGGCGGTCTTCACTCAGAGACGAAACTGTTCCGCTGTTGCTGTTTTGCGCCAATAAAAGCAGTTTCTCACCGTGGCTTATTGATTTTGTGACTACAGTCTATGCGTGTATACTCGTTAATAATAAGGACTGTATGGGCGGAACAAACCGCGCTCGGTGATGGCGATCACAAGCGCGGCAGCGTGACCATTAACGTTGGTGAGCAGTGGCATACCTGGAGGGAAGGGGTGGAGCAAGAGGGAGGGGTTGTGCAAAGGGGTCCAACTTAACCCCCATTTTGTTATCGTTTTTACGAACACATTTTTTCAGGCAACTTTCTAAATAAAATAAAAAAATATTTTGTTATACCTCTGTCTTGAATACTGTATTTTCATTGGCCTAGAGGCCAGAACGATCGTGTTAAGTTTATAAAAAGTCATGGCACCGTCACTCCATGTGGGATATCACGTACACGTGTATGTACGGCACGTACGGTGTGAAACGCTTGTATCGTACCCACACTTTTTCACCATGATTTCACACATGAGTACGAGCAGCGAACTAGCAGACCATCAGCTGTTTCGAGTACGCGACTGCATGTGAGTTGACATTCGATTGAGGCCTTGGGCCAAAGCTTGTAACGTACAGTTTCCATTATGTACATACACAGAGCCCGGGAGCTGTTAAGTCCGAGCCTCCATGGTCCGAGGTAATTTCATATAGCTCTAGGGTCCAAGCAAGGTCATGCTGGTTGCGCGCTTTTTGGCTGGTTGGGGTCTTAATTTTTGAACACAAAGGATTTGATGATGCAAAACGCGTCTGATACCCGACCGTGTGAATGAAGTCATTCAGGGATGATCAGACACAGTCATAGTTCCTAAAGATTTTCATTACTTTCATAGTCTGTTTCGACCAGTAATTAGCATCTCTCATGAATTTCTCAGCGAGTAACGACTACCGCGGGGATGGCAGATTCCTCCAACATTCCGTCATCATGCAACACATTGACAAACTGGAGTTGAGACCAGAGGACACGGTACTGGACGTGGGATGCGGCACTGGGGAAGAAACCAAGTCATTGGCAGGGAAAGTCAAGCGTGTAACAGGTAAGATTCAGTTCCACTCCTCGGCTTCTGCATCGCCAGCTGCTCCAGGGAGGAGGTGTTGACGCACCTATTTTTCCGGCTATCGTAGGTGGAATTTTGTGAGAGTTTGTTTTCTCGAGAAAATATGCGAGCAGCCCATAAAGCCTCCTCCCTATAATAGGCACGAAATGCCGACTTTTTAGACACCCCGTATGTACATATATAGGTCATGTACATTGTACACGTATGACAAAGCTTTACGAATGCGTTACGCTTGCTGGCTAATTATTGAAAGAGTCTTTTTATTTATTCACGTCGCGGTACGGATTGCCCTTTACTTCAGCAGACATTGTCAATGGATCATGATTATAGATTCAAGGGAAAGTTATGTTTATTCATGAGAAAAGAACGTCACACCATTGTTGTTACTTAGTGGATAGTGCGATGAACTATATTGGCTCCCCCAATTTTCATTGCCTATTTTTGTTTTGGGATATTGTAAGGGGAAAACAAGACTCCGACAACCAAAGTGTCTTTCACCATAGAGCAAGGATCTTTTCAAAATGCTTCCACAAAGTGTGATAAATATTCATGTCAGCATCAGAGGGGGTGGGGGTGCAAGTGGAAAGAATTTATAAGGGGGGGGGGGAATTCTCCCATTCGGCCATTCCCCATGCCCCCCGTCCCCATGGCGCCGCCACTTGTGATTAGAACATTAATGAGGGCGCCTTATCTTTTCAAAATGTTTCAAAGTCATAGAGTTTGTAGTTTAAAATACGGCGTCTCCTGTTTCACCATTCTACCCGTCTTTTAAACACACTATCCTCCAGATTAACTACGCACAAAAACGATCGTTCCAGAGGGGCTCGCATTTTGGCGATCGACAGCAATTTGAACTTACACCCCCCCCCCCACCCCCCCCCCCCCCCCCCCCCCCACTTATATATTATCAATCAGAGTGCCTTAACTCTGTTCCCCTTCCCTTTAGGCGTTGACGCTTCAGAGGAAATGGTAACAGTGGCCATTGAGACCAACTCGACACCAAACGTAACATACATTCAATGGGACGCCCGAGCCGTGGGAGACAACCCGGACTGGCGAGAGAGATTCGACAAAGCTGTCTGTTTCTTCGTTCTTCACTGGGTTCCCGAGGAGACCCAAGCGCTAGCGCTCCGTTGCATCTCCGCGTGTCTTAAGCCGGGCGGGCAGGCACTGTTCATCATCCCTTTCGAGAACCATGGCGACTCCTTCATTTTACTCCGCGCGACTTCCTTCTTGAAAAGCCATGAGAAGTGGGGTGCTTTTGTCCAGGTATGAAACAGTCCTTCCAAATTGGATAGAGTTTTTTTTTGGGGGGGGGGGGGGGGGAGGGGGGGGTTGAGGGGGGTTGGGTGTGGGGGGGGGGGGGGTGTTTTTTGTTTGGTTTACGTAGATCGAGATCCATTCATAAAACCGGGCTGAATCTCAGTCCATCTGTTTACTGCAGCCAGTGGCGTATCCAGCTTTTGTCAGGGCGGGGGGCCGACTACAGCGGTGCCGATCTCTAGTTAACACAGGGGACCAGTTTAGCTCGACAAAAAAATGTAAAAAAGGGACAGCTGGGGAGGGCTAGGGGGCTGGCTATACGTTAACAGTCGATAAATACGCAGACGGGTATTACATGAGTGGGAAGGTCTTACTTAGAGGCAGTGGCGTCGCCAAGGGGGGGGGGGGGGGGGCACGTGCCCCCCTGGAAAACCTAGTGCCCCCGAGTGCCCCCCCCCCCATCAAATGCTGGTGCCCCCCTATCCTCTGCAAAATTCTGCGCGTTGTTAAAATCATTACCTCAAAAATAGCAATTTCTGGAGATATCTTCAGATCGAATTTAGCATCAAATGTGGCACCATTTTGCATCTAGCCCATCCTCCGTATGCGAAAATTTTCCAAAGGGGAGGGGGGCACCCCCTCCCCTTAGACCCCTCCACCAGGACGGCTATCCGTATCCACCTAAGTGCCCCCCCCCATCAAATGCTGGTCCCCCCCCCCCTGTGCCCCCCCCCCCCCAGACTGAAAAGTCTGGTGACGCCACTGCTTAGAGGCTTCATGTCAACTGAAGAGTCACCTGCCTTTCTGACATAACAGATGTGTTTTGACTGGTCATTTTTTGTTTGGTCTTTCAGGACTACAAGTCATCACAGCACCTGTGGAACCTATCGGTTCAAGAAACGCAGAAAGTCTTCAAAGCGTGTGGCTGGGCCGAGGCGCAGTGTGAAGTGCGGATGCACGAACTGGTCCTGTCCGAAATTCAGTTAAAATGTAAGCTTTAGCAATCGAAATGTACGTTTTCCGAACCACATATGTATGATTAAAGGAGTGCATTCCCCGATTTTTCTTTTTTTATTACCACCTTTGCCAGAGAAGCAGACGAAGTCGAAGAGGCTAGCAGTAAACGATATCAACTTGGGAAGGTTTAGGCCAGACTTTATCATTCAAAAAGGCCTTATTTTGTGAAGGAGTGAGGCACTGTACCGACGCAGTTATGGAGGCATAAACAAACGTGAATTTAATAACGCATGAGGTTAAAAGTTACCACTTGTTAAGTTACTTACCTTGTCAAGGTTGTGAACCAACCTTGACAAGTCAGGAAAAACCTTAATAAATGCATCTGCCTGAATCATGAAAATATAATGATCCATTAGTCATCATACAAAAGATACACCTACATGAACATGCTATAAAAACACAAAATTATAAAAGGCATATATAATAGTTGTACAACAATTCGTACAATAATCTCATTCAAACATGTGAATGACAAAAAAAAATCAAAAAAACGGAAAAATATAAAGTACAAGTTTATACAATGAAATAAGTAAATATGGTGCGGATAAATACTGTGTCCCTTTTTTTTAAAAGAGCAAAACACCAATATCTATACAGTAAAATATGGAGGGGCAGCTTGAGCTATCAGTACATAGCCAAATACATGTACAATGATCATGCTAGGCATAGATAAACACAAGTAACACGGGCCCTGTTTCGTTACTTTTAAGTAATGGCATTTGGCCACAGACCCCGAATATGAGGTACTGTACTCCTGTCAACAGTCATTATGGTCACCACTACTGCCAACACACAGAAATAAGCTGCGATACCCAAAGACAAGGGAGGGTTCCCTACTTTTTCTTGGGCTTTGCCATCTGACAAACTAAGTGAGGGGTGTTTTACGTTACTGTAGCTAACTACATGAAGGCTATCATCGAAAACACTCACAGTAGGAGAAACAGACACTACTCTTGCCACCTGCACATTACAAAAATCAGCGGCTTCAAGTAAAACTGTCTCAATTAGAAGCGGCTTAGCCTCTTCAAAAAAAGCATCTACCACCTCAACTGTATGAGAACACGTAACAAGGTCAGGACACTGCGATTCGTGAACCCTGCCTTCACTAGGCTTCTCGAAACATTTCAAAATAGCGGCAAATCTATCATTCAGTGCAGCTTCAATGCTACTCACTGCATTTCTATCAATAGGACAAGCATCTTCATTATGTTCGCATAAAATATTTGTGAAGGCACTAACTATGGTCCTAGCTAAAGCACTGTTTGACTTCGAAATAGAGTCTGGCACAGACATGGTTGGAATAATTACCTTGGAATGCACACACAAAAATATGTCTTGTTACAAAATCAGGCCTCAATCACTGACCTACAATCAAGTCTGCATACAAAATAAAAATTATTTTAAAATTATTCAATCAGGATTTGCACACACGTGCGCATGTGTAAATCTCCTGTTTTTTCGTCTTTCTTTTCAACAGTGTTTTTTAAGACATGTCTTGGAGAAACACCGTTGATACCAGCGGCAGCGCTGGAGGATTATTTGCAAGACTTGTGGCAGTGGGCGTTGGATCACTATGGGGATAACGCTCAGCCTCGAGATGTGTACATTCCTGCTGGATTTATGGTCGTACACGCTTGGAAATAAGACTTGAAACCCTGTGGCGTTTTTCACTTTCAAGGATTTTGTTTTTGCCTTATTTTGATATTTTTTTCAAGTTCAGTAGGAGTCTTTCCTCGTGGTTGTAGTAAAAAAAACATGAGGAAAATATGCTTATTAAATTGTTTAATGGTTTTAAAAATTAAGTTTTATCTTCTCAACATTTTGTGTAAGTACATAAAGATTGTATTAATAAGGGAATAAGTATGTGCTTGGCCGGTTTTAAAAACTATGTTAGGAGTCTGGACGCTGATAATGACCCCAGCCGGTCAACCAATAAAAGGGTAAAAGGGACTGGACTTCATAGGAGTCAAATTTCATGTGACACTGGCAAAGTAGACCAGGCAGCCGGTTGTTATATCAACCTTTTACGACCGGCCACGTGACGGGCTCCCGATCAAAAGGAATGGGAAAACTGCCTTAGGTAGGCCTATTTATGAATTGTTCATGTACCTGGTCTCTTCATGCCACATTGGTGGCTGCTGACTGTTTTTTTTTTCATGTAAATGTAATAAACTAGCAAATTTGTAAATAAATCACTTGCTTCGTATGCAGTTATGATTGTACAGTTTGATATTTCTGTAAGATAACATTTACTAAGATTCATCAGGAATCGTCAGAATCTTTTGGTTATTTCGGTGCTTTTGGTTAGCTATTCACAAACGTTTTCAGGCGTTGGCCATGTACGTCGCGTCGGCGTACTTCGTTTACACACGTGCACGTGATTGCAAATTATGAAATCTCGCAAAAGGCTTCAGTTGCAACCGGCGACTTGGACGAAACATTAGAAGTCTCCTGCACGTGTTTCACATGAAAATGAAGGGTATACTTTCCTCTATCTATTGAGCCTTGCCGTTTCTTTTCGACTTTTTTTAAGAATCGAATGTACACCTAAAAACTATCGGCCCTCGATTTTGTTGATAAAAAATATGATTTTGTTTGACAGGCCGTAACAACACTTTATATTTGTCAAAAGCAGATATTTCAAAATAAAGCACACAATATCAACTTTTCACTGATTTAGCCATCTTGGCCAAACAGTGCATGTATCCAGGCACTTTTCGTGTTGTTCTGTAGTCTCGAATAAATCTCGCAAAATCCGCGTTCGCTTTTGGGCCATGCGTGCTTGACCTCGGGACAAGAAACTGAGGTCAAACAGGGCTGTGTGCATGACACGGCCACTGACTGTTTCATCTTAACTTTTTAGTGGCAGCTTAATTTCTCGGTTATAAGTAGTTTCGAACATGTTACTTGATATTTTACAATGTTGGAAATATTAGAAATAATGGGGACTGTTTCCCCGATGTAATTGTACTACATGAGGGCGATCGCGATGTATATCGCTGCCATAGTTCCAGCCTTGCCTCCATGAGCACGTGCGCGTTCCTCCATCAGCCCCTGGCCGTGGGGAATATGTAAACGGCGACGCTGACTGGCTAAAACAGAGCTTACTGCGCGCGTACTTCGAAGTCTGCGCCCCCCCCCCCCATCCGCTCCGACACGATCGAGTAAACGTATACACATTTTTTTCCAGACTGCGCGATGCCTTTTCGATTTGGATTCTGGAAGCCAAGTTTTACGCCACCAAAAACATGTATTCTAGGTAAAGAAATGGAGAAAACAAAAAAGTGTGTCACTTATTTACTTGAAACTGAATGACTTGTGATTTACTTGTGATTGATTTGTGTTGTAAAGGGACGACAGAGGTACGTAAACTTGATATAAATCCTTATAACGCCATGTCGAAATCTCATCATGATCATGTTTGAAAGGATCGATTCTATAAAAATAAAATAAAAAACCTTTGAGCACCGTGTCGAGCGTTAAAAATTGACTTATATTATTCATGCCGACTTCCTATTTATCTGTTTTGTCAAATTTGAACTTAAAACAAAGAAGTTATGGCCAAAATACTATTTTTGACCAAAAAGTGGCAAAATAATGAGCAAAAAAATGTTGTCATAACGTTAGTGCGCAATTTGGGCCAATGTAAACAGCCAAATTCAGATTTAGCACTATCGAATTAGTAAAGTTGACCTTATTGCAAACTGACACCAAAAAGTTAAGACGAACCTCAACTTCTAGACCTGATACAGATTTTGGCACATGGCCTAATTGTCAAGATTGTGGTGTTTACAGCTGTTTATTTTCGTGATTTTCACATCATAATCCAAAGAATCCAAGACAGAGAGGTTTAACAAAATAATTTTTGAGTGCTGAGTGATGTGGGATGACGTTTTGAACAATGAGTCCGTATTATTAAATTCACGCTACACCTGTTTGGCATGCATGCGCGCATAGCATGCTAGTATAAGCGCGTCTTTCTAGCGCGTTTCGTAGAATCAAGTAAGAAACATCAGCAGAGACCACGCAGAGACCCGTCACACTTAATGCAATATCGATCAGGCACCGACAAAGGCCATCCAGGAAGAGGGTCTGCAATTTGCTTTCAAAGCTGAAGTTTCTACATTCACGGAATAATTCATTCAGATCATCATGTCAGGCCTTTTGTATCGAGCTATGGCGCGACCCTTCGCTTCTCTAAGGAAGGCCCCAGCATTCCGGATGGTGCCAAGACGTTCCAACGTGAACATCCAGTACAAAGTACGTTGGCCAATATCAGTTGGTTATTGTTTGTTTGTTTGTTCTTTTTTGAATTTTTATTAGCGCTTGATTAGTAAAAAAAGAAGAAGAAATTTCATACCGATCGGCCACACCGAAGCGCTCCCCGATGTTAAAAAGTACCAGAGGTACACACATTTTGATTGTGTAGGCCCCTAGCACTAATGACCGGCCCTAGATCCAGTGATCTTAAAAACCTGTTTTTTTTTCTCCCAACGAATTTACAATTTGTATGTTTTACCAGTTGAAATAAAAACGTTTATAAAACACAAACCTTCCCGTAACATTGTCAATTTGCTCCCACTTTCACCTTCTACGTCATGGTTCAGACCAAGAACGTACTCAAGCCTTGGGAGATGGTGGTGGCCCAGCTAGGTTTTGTGGTGGCCCTGATGGGACCAGCCTGGTGGACCTTCCTACACATCGAAGACTACAAGAAAAGGGAGGATGACGAAGCTTAGGACCACAGAACTTCAAAAGACATGCCCACCCCCAGTGTTCAACTCACAGACATCACGGCAAGCTTGGAAACAACAAGAAGTACGAAACAAACGGCATAAAAAGAACTGAAAGTAACACTTAGATTTATTAGCAAACCTGCTTTGATTGCAACAATCTCCATCAAATAACTGTTTTCCTAATGCATTAAGCAAAACCATTTCTACACACAGCTTTAAACTTTTATGCCAAACATATAGGCCTATAACACTGAATTGTCTAGACGTCAAAATCGAAATACAATTTTCTTAAAACTAGGATCAAGTAGAAATTGAATAAGATTTTCGAAATCATGTCTCGAATTATTGTTTACACTTAAAACTTATTCACAAACAGTTGTTGATTCTGCAAAAACAGGATTATGAAATTACTTATAACTCTGAAGATAACAAGTAAATATCTCAGATGAAAACCAAGACTTACATAAACATTAACACTTTCATACTTGATAAAAGGTTATTTGTAAAGAATTAAATAATTGATATCAGCAGAGGAAGCAGAACTAGAAGTTAAATTTCTGCATTTGTCATTAAGGACATTTAACAAGTATCAATTAAGCTGAGAATACAATATTTTACATTTCAATTAATTTTCCATATGAAATTTTTGGCCCCATTGACAGCCGCATTCTTTACTTCTTGATGACATTTATGACGATTTCAATGACTACTTTTTTGAAAAAAAAGTCGACCAGTAAGTAACATGCATTCATTTGACCATCATTTATACCTTGATTTGATTTTCTGACATACACTTGTCACATTTAGTCGAATGCCCTGATCCATTCGATTCTCAAGAATTGCTTGAATCAAAAAAAAGAGAGAAAACCCTCCATTGTACACTGAATTGCCCCCTCATTAATTTGAAACTTTTTTTGATGATGCCTCCTCCCTTGTTTTAGTAGAAAGTCTCTAATAAGTATGCTCAGTTTCAATGCTTTAGTATGGCAGGTGTGTCAAGTCATTGCCTTCATTCAGATCAATATTTCGAAGATGACAAGGACTGCACATCTCCACCAGGGCCCAATTTTACGAAGCTGCAACTAAAGAAAAACAATTTGCTACCCTTAGTCAAGTTTTGCAATATTCTACACATCATCCGAGTCTGATAGTTAAGTGGAGGTCTGCTGATGTCAGGTGTTGTAAGTGGGGCTTTAATAATCGTAGGCATGCACATTAGCATGGGCCCATTGTGTTCAACGGGTGGGGGAACATCTCTCCCCCCCCCCCTTCCCCTCCTAGTTTTTATTTAGAAAAAGAAATTAAAGTTATCACCTCTTAACCGCTGCTGGTTACAGTGAAGGACCGTTTGTTTTTCAGAAACAGTACCAATTTTGCCTCCCCTTACCCCAACCCCTAACATACATACTGTACTGCTTAGATGAGACATTAAGTTCCAATCAATGGACGAAGGAGAGAATTCTGAGAGAATCCTGCCAACTACTTTGAGCGCCCTCCTTCTCTTTCAAGACCCTTATCGACAGTTGATGAACTTGTAGGATGATCCGGTCTACTTGGCTTCTCCATGGCCCATCCAGGTGACAGAAATCCAGCTCGGAATTGCCAGAACACCAACACTAAACATCACTGCGGCCAGGGTAAGCTCCTGTCATTAAAAACATAAATGGATAATGCAATAACAAACCAATTAGAAAATCTGTATTTGAGTTTTGAAAACTGTAGTGAAGGTCAGTTTATTATTGTAGGGTGCAGCCATTCACCCAACATATATGATGCTTATACCGAGACGGGCAAAGTTTTGCGGTTGTTTGCAGTGTTCAAATCATTTGTGCTGAAGACAGTCAACTTTTCACAAATGAAATTTCAAAGAATTGCATATGAAGTTAACGACTAGGCTCCCTAGTCGCAAAGTATATTTCAAGTCTTCAGTAGTACTAAGTAGTACTAAATATCATGTTAATTTGTAGAGTTCTACTTAAACCAGCTGTAGGACTACAATAGAGAAAGGGCACACGTAGGCCTACTTGTTTTGTGCGCGTACGTTTGAGGTTGAACATGAACATGATGCAACATAACACGCATGATGCATGGCATATTATAAGGCCTAAACTTTAGCATGTTTAGTAAACACCCGGCCTACCTTTTTCGAAGCAGGATTCTTTGCTGCATTCCTCCTACTTTGAAAAGTTCTTCTCGGCACCATTATCAGTCGCTGAAGAGTCTGATTACGGCTCCCATAAAAACGAAAAATGAACCTGGACGCGTGAAGCATTTTGGTGATTTTGTTGACAGGAATTAATTAGTCAGGCGAGTTGATGATTGTGTGTTGGCAAATAAAGATGGCCGGCTGCGCTGCCGTCGTCTAGCTCGACACAAAGAGTGCGCATGCGCACGACCATGCGCAGTAAGGTGCACCCAAGTCATAAACTTTTGGCCAATCAGTATGTCGCGTCGGCTTCGTTTTCCGGGTCGACTTCAGAATAATTTGACACCTGCCTCCTGCTAAATCATGAATACATGCTCTGATGAAGGAACCTCAATCCCGTAGAACGAGGCCAAGGTTCCAAATATTTCGTTTGGCTTGGACAAGATTCGGAAGCCAAAGTTGAGGTTGAAGACAGACTAAATGAAAACATTGTTATCGCAACTTTATCACACACACAAATCCCCCAAAATTCAAATAACATGTACATGTATTGTCCGTCGATCAACCCATCAACAATGGACTATAGGGAAATTTCGGTATTACAGGAATAACGCCAGAGAGATGCGAGGGATGTGTAGCAGGGAAAAATCTCTTGAACTTCTTGTTTCGTTTCCCATAGCAAATATGAAGCACTGTTGCACAATTCAATAAATTAACAAAATATACAAGAAACGTAATTTAAAAAGTCTCACACCAGAACACATGATTTCAAGGACACACGTTCTTTAATATTTTAATAATTCACTCCTATCAGATGTTTCTACTCTACACAGCAAGTCTTCGACAAGATCCATCGGGGGTTAAAATTGCTTATCAAACTGTATAATTCATAAATAAGTATAACATTGTAAAATGCATGTGATCTATTAATATATTATTAACCAACCGTTCTCTTTCCCCAAAGAAAATACATCCATTCCATAACTTTATTTCTTTGACCTATTTATTTTATTATATTTTAAAAAATTTGTTGGACATGATTTTTCGTATAAATTGTTGTAGAAAAGAAATCTACAGAACCTAAATATTCAATCAAGATGTTTACAGTGATTTTTCAGTGTTTGTTACATACGTCAAGCTATGTGGTCTGAAATATCTGACCTCAGTTTTGAAACCAATTGCTGAAGCATTAATAACATGTTGTAAACAGACTCTTTCTGGACCTATACAATCTTTTAACAAAAATTAGAGTGCTCCAAGTCCCACATCAAAATAAAGACCCCATTAAACCTAGCTTGCTTGAATTTTCTGCGGACACTTCCTGAACCCTCCGGAATCATACAGTGTGCAGTAAACCAATTGCACTTGTTTTGTACCTTTGTAGCAGAACAATGTAGTTGGGCTTTAAAGTTCTTAATCCATCACATGACTGCGAAACCATACAACGCATTTTGCCATATTTAGGGCAGATAGGGTCTACAATGAGTACCTATTTTTAACACAGTTGAGTACAGTTTTCATGTAGTCTGTTACAAAACAGGTGCTGAATGTGCATCCAAGTTTTATTGGATTTAAATGACCAAATTTAGATTTTAGAAGAATTTTGAAGAAGTTCACTTTGTTTGGAAGAGAGCATCTTGGGGTGTTGTGCGGCAACATGTATGTATTGCACAAATGTAACTTGATTTTCTCCTCCGACAAGTTTTGGCATGGATGGAGAATCGTTCTAAATAACCAAAATTAACAAGAAAGAACCTAAAAAAACTCGGATATCTCTGCTTTCTCCGTCATGATCGCACCTTTTCGACACTGTTTATACTGATTGATGTACAGTACATGTAATCATGCATAAAATGGCATTGCTGGTCTTTTAGCACGAGCAATTTTTTTTTTTTTAACCTCAAACGGGAACACCTGTTGTTCATGGGTTGTTCCAAGCGAGAACAGAAGGCTGTTCCAAACATGAGAGTCTCTCAAAGGGAACATGTTATGCAACCTTTAATAGGTCTCGTTCAAATGACGTCATTTCCTACAGACCATCCACGTGCACTGGCATTTTGAGCGGCAACTTGCATAATGCGCATCGGCTGCGTCGTATTTCGAACACATTTCGAGCAACAAGCGTGCGTGTTTGGAACATTTTCAACAACAATGCATGCTTGATTACGTAAAATACGCAGTTGCAGTTCTCCTACAGAGATGGCCGTCATTGAGCGAGCCCTATTTTTAGATGCCCTCTTCCTAATTTTCATGGTCTTCCTAATTTTCAGGATCTAACTTTGGTTCAGTCTATGAATTTAAAACAATGTACATGTCACAAATGGGATTATTACATTTCCGACACCATGATTCTGAAAACACGTATGCATTTACATGAGTTCCCATCCTATACTGTTATCTTAAGACTTGGTTACAATCACTGCAATCTTTTCACAGTTCCAATCAGGGTGCGACAGTCAGTTGAACACTCACAGACTAGATGGAATATTCAGGCCGTTTTTCTGTTGGATCTTAGAGTAGTTGTGACGAAAGAGGACAGAAAAGCTGTGATGGCAACATTCCCAGCAGATTTTCAGCAAGAAGAAAAGTGTTTATGTGAGTTACGTGTGTGAGTTCATTTTGATTCGGCATACAATGCTGAGCGCATGAAGAAATCGAGCAGATATTGACGCTCAAATCAAATAGTTTTTGTCAGTGCGTTGACAATGCTGGTTGAGACCTCAATTTGAAGTGAGCTCTTCTCACAGTGTGGGAGGACCTGTTTTTTTCATGCTCCATATTATTTGATAGGCTCCAAGACACTTTCTAATTCTGGCATGGAAACACTTGCCGACTCCTGTGAATACTCGTGGACGACTTGTATTTCCCTTGGTTTTGTGGATGATGAAGAGGGCTATTGATTGGTTGATGCAAATGTGAAGACCGTAGACTTGCTGAGGTTCACACACTTCCATCCTTGCTAGTCACGAGACTTGTAGTCTTCTAGGTGGGTCATTATCCAGCACGGGACGGCCAAGCAGCCTAACGAGATGATCCCCAATCCTGCCGCACTCTCCTAAAAACGGGGGGAATAAATGAAATGGTTGGTTGAATGGAGTGAGAGGAAAAAAATATTGCAACCTGACGCCACTTTTTCTTCATATCATCTCAATGAAGGTCAGTCATTGCAAAAATGATGAAAAGACATGAATCTGGGACTGAGAAACATTTCCAATTTTGTTAGGAAATACTTAGAAAATTTCTTGACTCTCCATAGACTTTGTGCACAACCACTGAAGTGGCTCAGGCTGCAACATTTTTTCCGGAGTGGGATGTTGACAGAACATGATACATCCTAAAAATGCAAGAGAATGAGCGAAAATGCAAGAGAATGAGCAACTCTCCTTGCTTCAATAGTATTTGACTTGACACGGCATGGCCATCTGGGCCCAATTTCACGGCGCTGCTAAGCACACGATTTTCTGTTAACGGAGCCTCCGTCTACTTCATGGAGATCGTAAGCATAAGCCCAGCAAAAGGCACGCTTGCTTCAGAGGAAAAATTTGCTTAAGGTCAGCAAATTTGTTCTGCTATGCTAAGCACAACTATTCTGCTAACTGTAAAGCAGCGTCGTGAAATTGGGCCCGTTGCTACACGCGGGCGAATTTTGGAATGAACGCATGATACTGTGCATGTTTTGTCTAAAAAGTTCATGTGTACTTCTGATTATTTAATGTTATTGTTTGTTGTAACAAATGTATCCCAAAATATGAAATAAATGAAATGAAATGAAATACGCAGTGGCTATCGTAACGGCAGCCGTAACGCATTTCCCATTTTCTATCGTTACGGTAGTACTGCAACTTTCATAAACACATGAGAAGAAAATATAAAATTAGAAGGTAAAAAGTGAATTTGAACGTTATGAAATTCGGACTTTATTTCCCTTTAAAAAAAAATCATCCAAAGCCTCAGGTTAGAAAAGGAAAAAAACTTCGAGTGCAAAACTGCGATGCGAACCCACAACCTCGCCTCGCGGTGCAAAATCCTACCCTCTGGGGGGGGGTCAGACAAGTCGACCGTTGAGACAACTCGACTCGGGACAAGTCGACCGTTGAGACAAGTCGACCGTTGAGACAACTCGACCGTATGTGCGATAAATGGAAAGACAAGTCGACCGTTGAGACAAGTCGCCTCGCATGTTTTGGGCCTAGTTTCGGGGATAGTACCGGGGATTTTGACGGCGGCTGATCGCCGTTTGGGAGTGATGACACATGAGTTCTTATTTTTGCATATAACAGAGCCGATATAGCTAGTCTGTGCACATCGTTCGTTTTTTTCAAGGCCACGTGCGTGCATCCCCGGTCAACGTGGCCGTACCGTGCACGGTGGCATCGTTTTTGCCGGGCCTGTGCGCCCATTTGCCGCGCCGGTCGACGTGCCCGCGTACGCCCTCTGTACATCGAGTATGCCCGCGCCGCACCCGTGATCGGTCTTGCCACAGATTTGTGCAACTTTTTCTGCTCCACGTGTATTCATTTCGAGCAGTCTCAACGGTCGAGTTGTCCCGAGTCGAGTTGTCTCAACGGTCGACTAGTCTAACCGTCTGACATTCAAACGCTACCGACTGAGCTGTCGCACTGCTCGCTAAAACGTGGGGAAACAAATAATTATATACCTGCGTGCGTATCAAAAAAGTATCGTAGAGGGCGCTAAACAACGGCTGCCGTAAGGTTCTTTATGTCTATGGCCTTAACGATAGCCACTTCGAATGAAATAACTCAGTCAGAATGGTCAGCAGTGCGCCAGCCCAGTGCCAGTACACAGTCACGACAGTGTATTTTCTTTCGCTTACCCAGGATTGAAGAGGCTTTGCAGCTTTTCCAACTCTGACTCCTCTTTTCTGAAAGATCATAGATCTCACTGATGGCGTCGATCGGACGATTACTCCTCTCAGAATCCCAGACATTTTTGATAAATTTCGTGGCTTTACTTTCTTGTAAAAAGGACAGAAGTTAAGGTTGTCTGTCGCCGCTGCAAAAAAAATTATATTTTTGGAGAGTGGAGACAAGCAACTGCCTCGCTGCCCTCGCATTCATACGTACGTATGCGTATAAACAATACGGACTGATCTCTAGTAGGCCAGACTAATAATGCGGACGTGCTTATTATCAAATTGGGGGCGCCCTTTAGGCATATCTATACTTCCCAGTCCCTCCATTATCGTGAGTGGGAACTACACTTTCTTGCTGAAAACTTTGATCAGAACCTGAATGCTGACAAACCACGCTCCCACAATTGCGTCAATGTGGGGTTACTTAGGGAGCCTCATTTTCTGGATGGAGCACTCGATGCCTCCTTAAACAATAAAAGCCAGTTTAAATGTTGAGGGGGGGGGGAGCCCACTGACGTGTGGGGGTTTGTGGGGTGTCCCCCCCCCCCCTTACGCAACAGTACTTAACTCGATGATGAAAGGTAATCGGATACAATGAGTATATTTTTTCGCGGTCAGCCGACTGCTGCATAAATGAATATTGTTTCTGATGAGTATCTTTCTCCTGTATTAAGTCACAACGGTACCGCAGCTTGAACGCGAAAGACACTTTCATCTTTTGTGCTTGCTTTGGAAACAGAAACCATTTTTCAAAAACGTATTTGATATATGTATCCGTAGGGATTCAATCTTTCATAAGAACAAATAAATAAAACAGTTTAGGAAAGTGTCACTACATTTCATCGAATACCTGTTCTGACACACTTTAGAACCACCCTCGCAGACCCACTGTGCTCACGCAGAAATTTTCCGATTTAGAGGAAAAACAGTTTTTGCATGGCGAGGCGGCTGGCGTGCTGGTTTTGAACAAGGTAAATTGACTAGGCCTACATGTACATGTATAACATAATGCCCTTGACTGAAAGCAGACGGAAGTTTACCGGATTCAATTGCGCTCACAAGAAAATGTCCTGAATATTTTCTAGAAGTTTTGATGGAGTTAATCTTGTCTCTTTTTTGGTATTTTCTCTGACTTGCAGTCCGATGATAACACGACTGTTTTGGGCGCTGCACATACATGAATACATGTAACAATGATGCACGCGCAGTCACGTACACCTCTATAATACGAGAAAACAACTTCACTTCATTAATCATTAACTTTTGTAACTACAATTCAGTACCTATCGGAGCAAGGTACACACTCAGGCATACCAGACATCTGCGAGGAACCAAATCCATTGGTCCGGCCTCTATTGACACAATATTTTTGATATGACGCTCCGCCGTTGAGTCAACACAAACCGACCTTATCTCGGCTAAGTTAGTCGCGCATCCAGTCGCAAAGGACACTAAACTGCTGCTCGGTCACCGTATGAGAATTCAACAAGCCTGGGCAAAGGCTGAAGTACGTCTACATTTTATATTATCCTGGTCATTCAGTTTGCTCCGCCTAAAGAGCCGCTCGTTTCGCTGTAATGTAATATCAAACACAACGGTGACGCCATATTTTTTTTTTCGTACTACACAAAATTAGGACACAGTAATTGGTAACTCTTCCAGCGCTTTTGGGAGATCGTCGTTCTGAAAAGACATCGAAAAAAATGAAGTCGAATATGTCCCTTCCTAGACTGGAGGATGAAGACGATTTGAACGTGTGGGAGCGGTACGTGCAGCCTGTATTCGCCGAGTTCACGGGCAGTATTTTGTACACCTTCATCGCGTGTTTGGCCGTCTCTGCCAATAATGTGTTTGCCATCGGGATTGCCCATGGTTTCGGCATAGCTGTTCTCTGTACTGCCTTCGTCAGAATAAGGTACGTTAAAGAGACACACAAAAAGTTGATGTCTGTATTATTTAACAAGCTACATTTGAAGATTCAGAAGTATTAAAAGCAATGCATCATGGCGTCGAAACGAATTTCACTTGCGATTAAAACACAAGAGGCCTATGTGATAAATTCATACATTTTGATCAACCAAATAATAAACCTCTTTTATGAAAAATCTCTCTCAATAAGATGTATCACCTTGGTTAATTTGTATAGGTTTTCACTCAGATGACAGCAAAGTAAGATCGATATTTTCGGCCCCATGAGTGTCACTATGTGACAGACATGACGTATTTCAAGTCTCCTTTGTTATTATTATAAGCGAAAAACTGAAGTTTGCAGTCAACGAAAATTTCAATTTTGCAGTAAATAGTAAACGTCTCGTTTTTAAATTTTGTTTCAAATTGTATTCACTTTACTTAAAGAAGAACATATTCATTATTGGTTTTAAAATTGAATGTACAACACATGAAGAGATGAGGGCAACATTATGTGTTTCTGTCGATATCACGAGGAATAAATATAGGTGTCATTTATAACGATGACAGTCTATGTTCTTCAACAAATGGAATTTTACTCCTAACGAATGAAAAGATGCGGGTTTTATATTTTATTTTGAGCGTCCCGGCGCAACACTCCGGGAAAAGGATTAATATTTTGCTTGATTTTGCGCACTGGAGAGCACACTGGTTCTCGGTCCCTACATCACCAATACAAATAGGGGCAGGGTCGGGGACCAGTCTACCCTGTGTGAAACCGAATTATTGTCGGGGCACAATTCATTCCAAATTTGAACAATACATTATCCATATAAATTGACGTTGGTCGATGTTTGGTTGATGTCTCAGTCAAATAAAGTGAAAAAACATTTGTGTTGCTAGAAAAAAAAACAATTCAAAATCAAAACTTTTCGGTGTGCAACCCAAAAATCGCACGCTAGTAGTGAATTTTCAAAAACTCCTATTGTTTTTACTTTCTTTTTAAGAATTTTTCTTTTAAATGATGATTACAATAATTCTTCAATTCCAATTTCTATTCTGCTCTTGATGCAGTGGCGGTCAGTTCAATCCAGCAGTAACCCTGGCCTCACTCTTGTCCGGCGGTACGGGAATCGTTGGACTTGTCTACCTTCCATTCCAGTTCATTGGGGCGCTGCTGGGCTCGGCATTCGTAAAGGTAAGGGATCCTTTAGGCTATCCGAAGCTACCAATTGCTCATTCTTGCTGACATAAGCGAAGCATATACATACATGTTTATGATCTAAGTCAACGATGCTAATGTGAAAAATAGAAATTGTTCAAATAATTCTTGGGCAAATTCCAGCGTCATCGATTGTGTGCAGCCAATTTTGCTTGAAGGCCATTATCCAAGTCTTCATATTTTGATATAATTATACGATCATACCAAATTTTCCAACTAAGATACATGTATATTGAAGTTGTTACCAACATTCTGCCTTGATAGTCATTAGATCTAATCAACTCATATTTGTTTCCACTGCCCCAGTCTCAACATGCAGAGAATAAGGTTAACAAAGTCATCGCCCTCAAGACGTAAACTTGAAACGTTTCGTTTGCTGAAAACGTATATTTTGGTTTAAAAGGTCAGCGTCCGTGCATTATTAGGTTACTAATTTCCCAGCATCGTCGGCGCACGCAGAGAAGTTTTAATCGAGACCCAAAGTGCGCAATGTTAATATATCATCGCGATGTCGACGAAAACCTAGACAACTATGCATTCTGTATGTATGTTGTCAATGCGACCGTGCAACGTCTTGGCCATGACAAAAACACATGCTGACATGCAGTAGGCTATGTCCCACTCGCTTCAGTAACATGCATTTGGCTCATTTAGTTTCTTACAAAATACAGCTTACCAAAATTGAAATCGACAGCGACAGGCCTATGTCATCTTTTTCGCTTTAAGAAAAGTTTCATTCCGAAACACACAAGTTTCGTGATTTTTTCCTCCAAAGATTGGGACTCCATGCTTGTGGTCGAATGACGTCACAAATCGTCTCGTCTCCGAAAACCTGCGACAATAATTATTAGTCATCATGCATAATGTCGGCGTTTGTTATACGCCATATCCTACATCAAAACTTGAATTTACTTGCAATGAATTTTAAGAGTGATCCAAACAATTCTCGTAAAATTTCAGTCAACTTTGGACATCTTGGCCAGGTACAATTTCGCCATTTTAGGCTACATCAATCGATGTTTTATGTTGTCTCGAAAATTTCGATAAACGTTTAAATATCGTGAAAAGAGCGGGAAGGACAGAGATAACGACCTCCGAACGCCACAAATCCGAACACAATACAAGTGACCATAATAAAACGGAGGAAATGCGTCCCAACGTAACTTTGGCGATTTTTCACTTGAACCAAACTATAACCAAACTTGAATCAATTTCAATGTTGTAATGTTCAAGGACATCACAGCATACTCTTACGTGAATACAGTAGGGGTCTACAGTTCAATTAGGCTACCTTAAAGATGTACAAGTAGTTCATCAAGTGAAATTGGCCACCATTATACACAACTCCGTACTTTACGAATTAGACCAACGGGACCTCTTCGTTCATTTAGGCTTCGATCTACCAATACAACTCCTTCGAGGAGATCCATGGAGGGGCCAATATGATGCGGGGCAACCGTCGCATCGACCCGTTCAACGAGTACCAGCGTACCTCCACGTGGCAGATCAACATCGTCTCCATCATCATCATTGAGATCGTCGCATCCACTGCCGTCTACCTGTGCTACTTGCTCAACAATATTGACGACCGTCAGCCACAGAGGGCTCCTTTGTACTATGGCATGGGAGTCGCTGCTGCCGTCATTTCCACGTGAGTTTAATTTTTTTTTGGAAATAAAAAAGCGGTGATAAAATTCAGCGTCCTTTTCAAAATTGAAACAACACAAGTAGAGGATTGAAAGGTACTTGCGATAATTTTGCTCTTTGTACGTGTATTTCTCTTGAAGCAAAAATAATTGATCACAATCTTAAGTAGGACGCATAACCTGTTGAAGTGTTAGCTCAGTGGTTACTACATGCAGTATACAATTAAAAAAATAATAAACAGATAAAACATACGGACAATTGTTTGGTATAGTCTCGTAATTTGCCAACGCACGTACAAAAGTGTGCTCGCCGGCACCCCAATTTGAAAAAAAAAAAACACTTTCATAATTATTTTCGATACAATTGGTACCAGTCCTTTCTTCACTTTGAGAAAGTTTTTTTTTGGTATTAATTCGGTAGGGACGTTTCTGAGTCATTACCAATACAGTGTATATACGTGCCTTGAACATTGGGTAGAAAACTCGCTCAAGAGAGAAACGGGCTATAAAAAAGTGACCAACAGTGTCCATGCAACAGTTATTGGAAAACAAACTACAGGCCAGGGTGACCCCAAAACACGTTGTGCGAGCAATCATCTCTAATTTTCTCAAAAAGTATCCAACATCAGCATTTCCTGTTGATGGAGTATATTGTTTGTACTCTTGTGAATAATCACAGCGAGGATTTGATGAAAATCAGTCATGCAAACCAGAGAAAAAACAGACTATAAATGGCAGCGTGTTTCCAACCCTTCGAATGTGATTTACACCCATTGCAGAGTGCCGCTTGAATGATTTCCAAGGCAATGTGTAATTCCTTTTATAATCTGTTTCAGCTCTGGTTTGCATGAATGGGTTTCCATGACATTTTTACTGATTAAGAGAATAATTAATATACTCCATCAAAATGAAACAGACATGTCAGGTACTTTTTGAGAAATTTTACGATATCTGCCTGCACAACTTTTTTGGGGGGTCACGAAGTATCATATTTTAACGTTGTTTTTTTAATAGGACCGAATTTCCTAGGAAAGAGAAGGAATAACAATTGTCATTCCACTGAAAAAAAAAGGAATTTGGCTTAATTTTTTTATTTTAAATCTTCATTACTTCAGCTACTTCACGTCCGGTGGAGGTTTCAACCCGGCCGTGTCGTTCGCTGCAGCCATCACCTCAGGCTACTGGAATGAACACTATGTGTACTGGGTCGGCCCTCTGATCGGCGCGCTCCTTGCTGCCCTGGTGTATCGGTAAGTTCCACATTGGCTTAAAAAGGTGGCGTAAAATCATATTTGAATTCAATACAACTCTTTGATCATTCTAACGTTTTTATGTTATTTTTTTTGTCGGTGAAGCCTATTATCGATCCTGATATTAGGGGAAGGGAACATTAGTCTACCCTGCGAGAATAGAATTATTGTCGGGCGAAGATTTGTCATTCTGTGAATAACTCTTATAATTGCTGGAAAAAATAGAAATTTTAAACGATTTTTCCCCCGGATGAAACTTGAAAATAGCATGGACAGTACGTCTTTAAACCTGACTTTGTTTATTTCACAGGTTAATTTTGGGCGATCGTAGAAAACGACTCCTCGGCAAGGTACGGTAAACTGTTGACAGGGATTGCAACAACCTGAACGGCACTTATTTTCACTCCAAAATAAAAAATAAATAAAAAAAGGTAAATGTTGGGTTAAAAAACAGAGAAATGTGCCGACTTTATAATAGTTTTTTTTTATAGTGACTGATTCTAAGGTGACAATATGCTCAGCACATAATTTCTTAATAGATTCATGAAATCTTGACCTTAATACACTTAACCTGGGGTTTATATTCAAAGCAATGCTGGAAGGGAAGGTGGTGATCTGGCAAAGGTTATTGCTATAGTGAGCTTTTGCCAGCTTATGAAAGAACAGTTTCTCGAATCAGATGAAGGTCTGCAATTATGGCATGCAGTTTTTTTGTGAATTTGCTAATTGCAAACTTAAAACATAGAATGCTCGCTGCTGATACCCATGTATATATACTTTGCTTAAATACTGGAACTCCTAATTCCATGCTGTAGAAACAGTCCGTTTTTCTTTTGTTATTTAGCAGAACGTTTGTAACAGGTTTGACTATTTTAAGAAATGTTTTCATTTTATTCGTTGCTCGACTGCAAAACAAAACAGTTATTCCAATTAAAATTGAAAAGCAAAGTGTAGATATTATATGATGTACCTTTCGTGATTCCTATATATTGGTCAAATTTAAACGGCCCATGCAATGTAATATTTTTTATACAATCCTTGAAAATGCACTTTTGTGTGCCATTTTACCTTTATTTCAATTTTCGCTTTGCCATTTTCAAAGGTATTTTGGTGCCATTTTAGTTTTAATGCTAATACAAATTTCCGTGTTACCATGAGCAAAAGTGTGATGTCACATCACGCAGAAACCTAAATGTCACAGCTATTTCAGCACCAAAAGCTGCTAGAATAATATGGATAGTTTGCTGTCGTAAATTTTCTTTTCTTTGGTGATTCATTGTTTTGTCAGTAAATAAGCAGTAGGCCAATTAGCAAACTTTTCCCACAAATGCTTTCAATAAACACATTTTTGGGTTCACAATTTGAACACAAAACCCCTATACTGAACAGTGTTTTCCTGAAATGACATCACGGCAACAGTGCCCTCAGTTGCACGGAAAAGCAGGAACATTTTTAAATGTTTAAAGAGGTGCACTTTTCAATAAAATTAACCACAATGGAATGTAAAATATATAGTTTTCATACATTTATCAGGAATAGAAAGTTAGACAAAAGGTGTTCCTCAGAAAAAAAAATCATTTCAGGGACCCTTTAATTCAAATATTGACTTATACTTGATGTCATATGTAAGACTTTACCATATGTAAGACTTTCACAGTTTCTGTGTTTTATTTAGTTATATACCATCAACATATTTAGGGTTTTTACACATGTATTTTGTATTTAGGATATATCAGACATAGACAAGTTTCTTAAACACTCATGACCTGATGCGAGTCAATTTTCCAAAGTGAATGTAGTTTGAGAGTCTATTTTGGGCCAGCTCTGCAATAGATCACCCGTCCACTGTGGCCACCCTTCGACCATCTACACCAGAATTGTAGTCTCTGGAGTCCATTTCCAAGTAATGACATTTAACCTGGTACTGTAGGAATTATTCCCGAGGAAAATGGAGTGCCCTCAGTAATTTGGTTTTGACTATGAGTAAAAATCTTGCGCAAAAACTGCACTAAAAATGTCTATAGCAAAAGGATTAGGGACTCAACGAGTCCTTCCAAAGAATAATGATCACATACATTAAATGTACAATTGTTTATTTTTTGGAGTTTTTTTTCTCCAAACACTCATATTAATCGTGAGCAAAGAAATTACTTAACTCAGCCTTCGCATTTATTTTATATTCCTACTACATTACGTTATATTTCAGTGTACTTTGGTCTCTGAAAAGGATTCAACAACGTGTACGACACTGATACAAACGCAAAACAAAGTAGACGATAAACTTTCCTCGAGACCATAGATCCTTGTTGGCAGGATGGACGTTTTAACTGCTTTGGTTTTTGCATAGCTTAGGTACTCTCCTTCATGGATGCTGCTAGTGAAGTATCAACCCCCACCCTACCCGCACCCCCCCCCCCCCCCCAAATCTTTGTAGGGAAATCTTTAATAAATTAAATTTCAATTGTTTTAAAAGAGTTTGAAATGTAGGTATTTTTTTTAAAATTATCACTTTGAAATGTATTCATGATAAAAAATTAAGGCGTTCCTGGCGAAGGGAAATCATACATCAGACTTAAAAAAGCAACATTAGAATATCCTTTCCTTTGAAATTACTGTTTACTTTTTACTAAACATGTAGAATAACAACAATTTAGAATTCACTGTAAACAAGCGCTCTGTAAATAAAGCATTCCTTTGAAGTGTCTTCAATGTCTTGAAAACTGTTTCACATTACCGTGTCTATAAAATAAGTTGTAAAATTACAGTTTGATAGTAATATTCAAGATTTTTCGCAAGTAAGTTTTGCTTTTATTTTGGGACTCGAGTCTTATTAGCCTTCCTCGAGTCGAGTCGAGTCATTCTGATGAGGGACTCGAGTCGAGTCGAGTCATTTGCTCGCAGTGACTCGAGTCGAGTCGAGTCATTTACCCGTCGGGACTCGACTCGAGTCGAGTCGAGTCGCCAAAAATGTGACTCGAGTCGGACTCGAGTCGAGTCATTGACTCGAGTCATTAAAACTCTGAATTTCATGTGACATTTTTGTCTACGACACAAGTAGGATTCAAACCCATTTCGCTGTTATCAAGAAAGTGTGCCAAAACCTCCGCCGCGCCGACCATCTTAGTAAAGTTGGAGATGCATGCGCATGGCAACATGAATGCTGATTCACCCCATATGTCAACTCCAGCAGGATTGGAACTCGGGTTGCAGAATGGCATGTAAGGCACAAGACAGGTTCCTTAAAAGCCTGACCTCTAAATTTCAACCCCCCCCCCCAACTCACTTATCTGTGAGACCTATCTTCATGTGTTGCTGTCTCCTGCTGGTTGCTTCTTATTGTTGTCATCACTGACATCATCATCAGGAAGGGATGGAGGCCAGTCCAAGTCAACTGACTGTATGAATGCAATACAAGAATGAAATGTCAGTGAACATAAGGACTCAATGTGAAGACACGTAGAAAACGTTAGAACAGCATCTTCTCAAAGAAAAACCTTCTGCCATCTTCTTATTCATATAATACAGGGCGAGTACAAAAAAATGGAAACACAAATGGGAGGACCAGTTTTTAAAATGAAGTTCTGCATGTAGCACTTTCAATATCTAGGATATGAGAGCCCAATTAATAAGCTTTCTTTTAGTATAGAAATCATTCAAATCACTCATAAACTCATATGGGATTTTAAACACAACCACCGCCTTAGAGTTCTGTACACAGATCACAAAAAAGGTAAGTGTTCTGTCAGCAAAACGAAAACAATTCAGAGAGGAATGTACGTGAATTGTTTTCGTTTTGCTGAAAGAACGCTTACATTTTTTGTGATCCGTGGACAGAACCTTAAAACGGTGTTTGTGTCTAAAATTCCGTAACTTGAAAAGAACATAAGTGATTTAAATGATTCATGTACTAAAACAAAGCTTATTAATTGGGGTTTCATATCCTAGATTTTGAAAGTGCTACATGCAGAATTTCATCACAAAAATGGTCCTGCTACTTTGGGTTTCCTTTTTTTTTTTTTACTCACCCTGTATAAACTACAGGATGTAAAAAAAAGGATTATACCACATATAATTGTTTTTAAAACATTAGGGTTTGAGGGTAATACCATGTGAATCAAATTCTTCCACATAAATAAGCACCTCAAGTCTTGCTCACTGCACAACAATGTTCTGAGACTGCCAATCGATCAAGGGTAAGACACTTTTTCCTTTGAGAAAATAACTAATTGTTTGACAATGAAATTGTACATAGAGAACTCACCTCAACGTCCAATTCTAGGATGTCCACATCACATTTCAAGAGAGTGCCGAGGGAGGGTTTAGTCCGACCAAAGTCACTGTGAACAAACTCCTTGATGTAGCTGAGGTAGGAAACCGGTCAAGGAAACTGCAGATATCATATGTTAATAAATACCTTGGAGAGTTGGTGGCTTCTGATTGGCCGAGACTCGATCACGTGGGCTGTATTAACATGTGATATAAAGACCGGCTTCAAGAACAAGCGAATAAATGACCCCTGAACCAGCATTGATCCAGCATCATGTAAGCCAATGATTGGCCAAATTTACATCACGTGGGGGTGTACTGACATGTGATATAAAGACCAGCTTCAACAACAAGCGAATAAATGGCCCCTGAACCAGCGTTAATCCAGCATCATGTAAGCCAATGATTGGCCAAATTTACAACAGTCCTATGGTAGCTTGTAACAATACAGCCAACCACCATCGTGTGAATACTTCCACGTGTGTATGCAACACAGTTGCTATGCGGGGCATGCATATGCATGCATAAAAGTCTTCGAACGACATGTTCGTACTGAGGATGTTTACGACGAAAGCGTGGAACTGTAAACACGTCGCCTACGGACATATTCACCAGTTCATACCCTGGACCTCAGTCGTATGAAGACGTCGACCAACGACGTCGACCAACCTGGGCTAGGGTAATAACAACAATACGCAAGCTAAAATATGGAACCTGAACATGAACACTAAAAGTCTAGAAATATTACCGAAAGAAAAGTCACAAATTCAGAGTATTTTAACTGTTTACTCAGCTCGGTCTATTAACAGCGGCCATCCCCATCCCAATCATTATCACGTAGTGAAGACCGGGTCCTCACACTGTTATTCCCTCAGTAGTAAACTACAAGGTTGGTCATATATTTCAGGGGTACCTACCTCCGGTGCTGTAGTCGTGTTTATTAAAAACTCGTACATATTCATGAGACAAATGCGCTTCTTTCATCTGGGAAGTAAAAGTAGCTACCCCGCAGCTCGCACATGCGTCCCATGAACTACTGCCCGACTGGTCAGTGGTACCAGGGAAGTCATACCCATAGATTGGCTCCCAGACTTCCAACCATGCAACAGTTGTTAGAGGCAAGTGAGGCTGCTGGTGGTACGATACCAAAACCTTCATGAACAACAAACGATTATACGCATTCTGTCAATTACAAGTCATCCAATCCCAAGTCTCATAATAACACTGTCTACTTGCAAAACAGACTCCTGTCTTCTTAGCCAGTGTTGGTATAATGCTTACTTACGTTGAATGGATGTAAAGATTTCCTGAAAGCAATCCAATATTAGTTTTTTGGTGGGCATGTTTGTTCATGTTTGAGTCAAGATCTCACGAAATGAGTCTTAAGGACACCTTTTCAATCAGTTATTTTTCACATGCAGTAGAATGCACATAATTTACCCTCCCATTTTGAAGTAACTCTCAGTTCGAGATTTGAAGGTTTGCATGGTGGAAAGATATAAGACATAGTGCTACCGCAAACTTATCTTGTCTTAACTCTCAGTTTGACACCATAATATATAGAGATATTATGTGGATGAAAAGGTTAACTGTTCCTATTAATTTCCACTGCGCAAGATTCTGTTAAAAAAAGGATCTCCTGCATCCTGTGATTCATTTTCTTGGTTTGGTAGTCTAGGGGCTAGACGTTGTTAGAATTTGATATGCGATAACCTGCCGCCGCCGCGATAACCCGCCGCCACGAACTGCCAATAACAACATCTAGGGAATCTTGTAAAATCTCTTCCCGAAAAATGAGGGAAACTTGTGTTCATGCGCTACTTCTGCAGGTAATTACAGTCCATTTTCAGCCCCACACGTACTACATACCACAAAAGAGCTGACCAGTGAAGTTGCTAAAAGTCTTGCTGCATATTGTATGCTACTGGAAAAAATTAAGAGTTTCTTTCAGAACTACCAGAAAATGTTTTGAATGCACGCTGCATATAATTAGGCCAAACAGGCACGAGCCCATTACACAACAGCTACGAGATTCCCTAGATGTTGTTATTGGCAATTACTGGGTGATATTGGTTGGACGTGATAACGCCCTCTCGCGGTGGCGGGTTATCGCATATCAAATCATAACACCGTAAATAATGTTTGGTGAAACTTCAAAATGTTTGCCTTGAAAATGTTGTTGTTGCTTAATCTCTGTCCTCAGAATGTTTCATTTGCATTTGTATACAAGGATACGTGCCAGCTTGCGTTTTGAGAAACAATCTGAAATGATGAGCGTCAATGACTGTGGCAGACATGTTGTGTACAATTCGATCTCGTGTCGCTAGAGGGCGCCTGTGCAGCACACGTACTGGAGTCTTCTGATGAAGGACTAGTTCCTGAAGCAAATAAGGCAACATTTTATTGATAATTCATTGTCTGTTACTCGTATTCGAATCATTTTGGACTGAGGGTCTGAAGTTACCAGTGTTTGGATGTTGGTTAATCAAGCTATGTGAAGGGCATAGCACGAATACAAGCCTTGAGTAAAATGCATGCGAATTGGTTCAAATTCATCAGTCCGCATGTACATTGTAAAATGTCAGTGCTTGGCCCCACTGTTGTAATCGAGTCCATCACAAGTCATCCAGTCCTAAGTCAATTCTCACAAACTATTCAAAGCAGTGATGTAGTCGAGTATGTTACAAAAAGCAATACAATTCCAGTCAAAAGCAACAGCTGATAAACAGCTGGCTTTTGTAACAATTCAGTAGAAAAGTGTTTGACAGGACTTGTGAGGACATATAAGGACTTGTGAGGACATATGAGGACTTGTGAGGACATGCAAGGACTTGCGAGGACATGTAAGGACATGTGAGGACATGTGAGGACTTGTGAGGACATGTGAGGACATGTGAGGACTTGTGAGGACATGTGAGGACATGTGAGGACCTGTGAGGACTTGTGAGGACATGTGAGGACATGTGAGGTCTTGTGAGGACATGTGAGGACATGTGAGGACTTGTGAGGACATGTGAGGACATGTGAGGACTTGTGAGGACTTGTGATGGACTCGACTACAACACTGTTTCAAATGAACTATGGCAAAGGCACTCCTTTGTTTTTGTTCATCCTCTGTTACTTGTGGTCAGACTTGTGAATTGACTTATGGTTTATTTATCATTTTGGAATGAACTTGTTATGGACTTGTGTGGAATCGATAAAACCACTGTTTTTAATAGGTACCCAATGGGCCCCATTAGACAATGCTACTTCAATCAACTTTTTCATTTTAAAAAAGCTCTCAAGATATATTTCACGCATTGGCGAGATTTATACCTTTAATGCAACTGCACATGTACACAAACAACACTGACAATAAGTATCTCATACAGTGACCGCTCTATGTTCCGACATCCCTATGTTCCGACACCCCTATGTTCCCACAACGCGCACATAAGATTGCGTTACTCCCGGTTAGGGTTAGGGTTAGGGTTAGAGATAGGAATATGTGCAGTCGGAACATAGGGGTGTCAGAACATAGGGGTGTCGGAACAATGGTGTGTCGGAACATAGGTGTGTAAACTCTCATACACTATCTTTACCTTGATGTCAGCAAGAAATGCTAAACTTTCTTCTGTCTGTTCATCTGATGACCATATGAGGGCGCTATACGATTTGGTTTTGATTTCCTCGCCATCTTTTAATTTATTGGTGTCCTCCCTGAACAAAAAATAACAACAGAAATCTCATGGATCATTGCAAAGGTTTCTATCTTCTGCAATCCATCAGAATTGGTACAAACAACACCTTGTTTCCACCGACATTGTAATCGCTAAAACAAATTACTTCATAAAACATTTCTACGTGAATAATATTTATTACGGTCACCAGGAATCTGCTGTGAAAACTCAGCAAAAGGCGAGGGTAGAACTAGAGACAAGACGTAGGTTGGGGTGGGCGGTGGGGTTGCAGTTTAGTTTGGGTTGTTGCTTGGGTTGGGATGGTGCTGGGCTGGGCTGCAGTGCAACAGTTTAACTGAGGGGGGAGGGGGAATGGACACCACACCACCCTTCCCCACCACACCGCACACGGCCTGTGCCACCTATTTTGTCCCCCCCCCCCCCCAGCTCAGCATTTAGGAAATGGCAAAAATGAGTGCCCCCTCCAGAAAAAGAAGTCCATAAGTGCGAACCGGAGCCAGTTACGTCACTGCTGGGGTGAGGTGGAGGTTGGAGAGGTGAGCTCAGGTGGAAATTTTTCCTTTACCTGTCAATACACTGGAGATCCCTTACACGAGCGTCTTGTGTACTCCTGTTGATACTCTATCAAAACAAGATAAACAAGAACAATTATAAGGAAATTATCGACTCTTGCCCAGTGTTGTGTACTGAATCACTCAATTTTGTAGCTTGAGTTGAGTAGAGTCATTCTAAAGGCTCGTTCATACTTGGGCTTGTTCATAAAGGCTTGTTCACATGAAAGTAACAGCGAGGCCAACCTCATGATATCAGCTACTGAAGTTTCATTGTGGCATTTACCGCTATCCTTTGCACTGAAATTCACGTGTGAAGTATGAACCAGCCTAGAGGCCAAGACTTGAGTCAAGTGGAGTCGTTTGGTCAACAGATTGCAGTAACCTGAGTCACTGGTCAACTGCTTGCATTGACTTGAGTCAAGACCAGTCATATATGCATGTAATGAATCGAAACAATCCACTAAAATTTGAGTCAGACAGGAGTGGAGTGATTGACTTAAAGTCATTACAACTCTGCTCTGCCCAGGAGAAAATTACAGAAAACCATGGAAGTTTGTTACAATTCATAACACATATCATCGCGTCATCAGTGCAACAAGGTCGTACCTCGATTCTGCAACAAAGTCATATCTAGAGCGAATACGCTCCATGCAACAAGGTCGTATCTCGATGTCCATTGACTTTGCATGTACATCCGGGTTAGTTTAAGCGAGATATGACCTTTTGACATTCTAAAACTCCCATTTCGCATTCATGCCATTTTAGGAGATACGACCTTGTTGCATTGACACGACAGTCATGTCAGACATGGAAGAGGATCTGTGGCGTCACAGCTGTTTCCTGTTCGAGGTTTTTGGAAATTCAAAGAAGGGGGCGTAACTCAAACATTACTCGAAAATGTTTAATTTCTTTTAAAAGGACAGACGCTTTCAGACTGACCTTCTGCAATGCAGTGAGTTCCTCTTGGGGTGGTATCGGCCGTCTTGAGTTCAGTATTTCCACAATAAACGGCCTTCCTAGGAATGAGATCATACCGTTTCTGCTTTCAAATCTTTGCATGCAAGCAACAAAAACACAAATCAAGTCCTTTTTATTTGTAATTTATAGTGTGAGGCTACAATTCATGAACTGATTCACAATCATACTGGCAGATTGCTGACGAGGGGGGGGGGGGTGTTCCACAGTGGCATTCCCCCTCCCCTTTTAATCATTGAACTAGGGTGAGTACAAAACAAAAAAAAGGAAACCCAAATGGCAGGACCAATTTTTGAATGAAGTTTTGAATGTTGCACTTTAAAAATCTACGATATGAAAGCCCAGTCATTAAGCTTTCTTTTAGTACAAGAATCATTCAAATCACCCATGTAATTGTCAAATTACAGAATTTTGAACACAACCACCGTTTTGAAGTTCTGTCCACAGATCACAAGAAAGTAAGTGTTCTTTCAGCAAAACAAACACAATTCTCATGGGGATGCATGTGAATTATTTTCATTTTGCTGAAAGAACAATTATCTTTTTTGTGATCCTTGGACGGAACTTTAAAACGGTGTTTGTGTTTAAAATTCCATAACTTAAAAAGTACACAAGTGACTTGAATAATTCTTGTACTAAAAGAAAGCTCTTTGATTGGGCTTTCATATCCTAAATTTTGGAAGTGCTAAATGCAAAAAAAACTTAATTCAATCATTGGTTCTGCCATTTGGGTTTCGGTTTTTTTAATCACCCCATAGAGTGAAGTAGTGAAGACAAATGTATTGAATTCAAAGCTATATTTTCCTCACCCACTTTCCCTTTGAGATGTGTAAAATAGTGATAAAAAGTAAGAAAAGCAAAAAGGGGAAGAATTTCCCCTAGCGTCAATGAGGTCCGGCTCAACCCCTAAAATTTGGCCCCCGGCAATTCTGTTCTGATCCACAAGTGAACACTCATGTTGTTGCAGCTTCACAGAATGTTAGTTCAGATTGCATAGCGGGACACTGTGTTTGCGCCCTTGGGCAGGGCAGGGCACGTTGCCATTCTTGCTCGTCCCATCCAAGAGACTGTCTATCAAACAGTGAGGACAGAGTTTGTATGGACAGAGCACCAATTACAGTTTCCTCTGTTTTGATGAAAAAAGTCTGTAAAAAAAAGGGACAAAAGAGGTTTTATTCCTACCATTTCCAAGTGTTCTGACATCGACATCTTCCCTACCAGAGGCTGAGAACTTGAAATCTGCACATAAAAGTGGCACAATAAATTATGTGATTGCTTCCACAGTCTGGTCAATGGAAAACTGCTCAACAGAGTGCACCTTTCTGAAACACTGCCCTCTATACTAACAGGGCCCGATTTCATGGCGCTGCTTAACAGTTAGCAGAAAAGTTGTGCTTAGCATAGCAGAAAAATGTGGTAACATTAAGCACTATTTCACGGCATGGATGTGATAACGGTCGCGCGCATGGAGATTTCTACTGTTATGTCACTCAGTTAAGCAAATTTTTCCTCTGAAGTAAGCGTGCCTTTTGCTGTGCTTATGCTTACGGTCTCCATGAAATAGACAGAGGCTCTGTTAGCAGAAAATCATGTGCTTAGCATCGCCATGAAATTGGGCCCTGGATTGAAGCAGCTGTCTGCCATCTTGGGTCACCCATGAAATCTGCACAGTACATGCACCCTTTTTTACACATGTTTTGGGTTTTGGATTTCTTCTCCAGAGGCGAGACAGCAAAAATAAGACTTGTATTTTCTGATTGCCTTTTAGATGTAAACAATCCCATTCCTAGGATTGGCTAACATCCAAAGAATAATTGATTATTGGGGGAACTGTTGTTTCTGAGTGAAAAAAAAATCTCAATGGTAGAATGATGTACATGTACATCCCTGCGTGACGTTTTGGGGATCCAAAATGGCGGATGAGTTGCTTCAAGGTGCACTGGCCAATAGTCCAGTTAGTATTGAGGTCAAGGGCCAAAAAGCATATTCTACTTGGGTCAACTTGAGTTTCTTTTCATACAAGCTGGTTCATTGTGACTTTGGCATGCCAGTCTAAAAAAGGCTTACACAAGTCTTGGACTTGCCTTTCATCAACGTACTTTATAACACTCTATACTCTGTGTTGTTCAAGTTCTTCAGAGAAATATTCACAAACTACTCGGGTGGGACTCGAATCCATGACCTCCTGCTTACTAGCGCAGACATCTTACCACTCCACCACTGCAACCAAAAACTTTTCAGGCAATGGAATTTGCACTGGGGTGATATTTATTCAATACTGGGTTTTGCCCTTCACCGACTTATTTTATAGACGCTGTTTACGCAGTTATTTTATAGACACTGTATATCGAAAGGGTTTGCCCCGGTGTTTCTGGCCTCCTAGTGATACTCCCTTGTGGAAGTCCTGAGGAGAAGAACCAACCAAGTACCAAGTACCAAGTGTTGTCCCGAGCGATTGTGAGAAAAAAAATCACAAACTACTCGGATGGGACTCAAACCCACGACCTCCTGCTTATCCAAACAACATTGAATATACAGTGCTTATTTTATGAACATGAGTGCTTTTAAACTTCCATCTTATGAATACAGGTCTTGCAAGTGTCTTCACTTGAATCTCTCGTGAGTTGGTCACATAGGGCGTTTTCGAATCCCTGTTCTTGACAACACTCGGGTTAACCTGACACGAGAACAGCGGTCTCGAACGTGACGAACAGACCCGAGAGGGCGTTCGCGGATCGATTTTTTTCACTCCCCGGTTGATGGAGGGTTCGGCGAGGTGCAGCTTGAACAAAATGGCGGACTGTGCAGATTCGGAAGTGGGACCTAAATTCTGATTCCTGCATGGCCGGGATTACCTCTTCTGTTAACCCATGAATTCTTGCTCTCTTATCCTGAGAAAGAAGAGCTGCTATGAATGCCACATTTTGGTCTGTTTCACATTCATCTTCTGAGTCGTCCTCGTTCATTTGGAATAGGCCTAAGTACAAATTCAGACGATTGTCGGCCATTTTGCATTGCTTTAAATCGATGCGACACGCACCCGCGCGTTCGTAACAACCAGCTCGAGAACACGTTCTCGTGTTACACGCGTGTTGTCAAGAACAGGGATTCGAAAATGCCCTCGGTGCCCTCAAAGCGTTCTCACCTGATGCCTTGAAGAGTTCCTTGATGGGATCACACAGTATCTCCTGCATGGATGACTCAGTCTTACGCTCCCCGTCTATCAGCCAGGGAGTCTGGCTGAGCTGGCGTGAATACTTGTTGTATCGTCCTGCACATGGGTAATATGCCAATCAAAACTGTCCACTTTCGAGTTTGAACGACTAATATTTAGTCTAGTAAAAGCTATGGATTCTGTGCAAGAACCATTGATGGCACTCGTAAAATTCGGGAATGTAAGCGGAAGGTCTGAAACCGGGAACAGTGGAATGCCGCTATAACGAACATCGCCGGATCCACAGAAATTGTTCGTAATAGCGATCGTTCAGTATAGCGATTTTAAGCTGCCGGTGCTCCAATGGTTTTAGCCTTGATGGCTTGAGGTTTTTACACATCAACGGCACCCTCTTTTGACAATTGTTATAGGGTAGTGGCATTTCTCATTCCGCACGCGGAGTCATGACACTTGTCCACGATTCAACTTAAACCTACAGGAGGGTTTTGGTGGCTTTTCCCTTCTATTCCTTGTGGAAATTATAGCCACCTGTCACTCTTCAACATAAAGTCTGATGTAAGCACTGGCCGTTTGACGTTTGGGAATTGGAAAGGGCCCTAACAGTCCTTGATTTATGCCATAGATTTGAGGTTTTTGCACTGACATTTTCGGACAACAATTGCTCAGGAGCCAAGGGTGATGTTCGGTATAGCCGAATGTTCGGTATAGCGTTGTTTGGTATAGCGGCGTTCCACTGTATTTCAAAATACGTCACTAGTCCACAGATTGAAAGCGATCCGTGGTTATGTATATACATTTGTAGCCACGTTCACAGGTCTAACACACGGGGTGCCAGAAACTAGATCCAGACCCAGATCTGGACTCTGCACTTTTGTCTTAAAAATAAAAAGGAAACAAAAAGTCTTTCTTTTCTTAAATTTACACAAAAAAACTGTGTCAGTGGAAAAAATGTGATTACAATCTTTTACTATAATTTTTTTCAAATATTAAAAGTCCTGCATTGGGAATAAAATAAGTTGTCAAATTCAGAGTCGGCGGGTTCGTAATCCAATAAAAGCCTGATGATAAAACAACAACATTTACCTGCAACAAAGACTGCGGAGTACCAGCAAGCCACCTCAGTTGCGCACGGGGACCGGGGAACTGACGGTGGGCACGGAAACAATCTGGAATTGTAAGTAAAACAAGGTTTTGGTTTGAAACTGTGAACTAAAGTAACTGTAGTGCCAATGGGTCATTGCAATGACCAATTTAACTTATCAAGGAAGAATTCAAACTGATTAAAAATCATGTCCAGCAGCCGATTTAAAAAAAAAATTACGCAATGGTGCAACTCCACATGTGCCACACTTTATTGCATAAGTTGCTCAACATTTCACGCTGCGCAACATTTCAGTTATGGCAGGTTTCACAAAAGCTTCATAGTGCGTAAGTCCGCGACTTGAGCAACAAATTATGGCATAAATTGGACAATTATTTTAGGTGGCGTATAGCAGTGTCGTAGCGACTGAAAATGACCTATTTTACCAGCAAATAGTGATCGTCGTCAAGCCTGTCATTGCACAACTTATGAAGGTTGATACAAGACACTCGATGCTTTGTGTTTGAAGTAAATGAATTACTATTTCACTCGTGACAGAATTTTTAGAGTTGCTGATCGATTTAGAAGAAAGTCGGACAAAATTGTTTTCCAAATGATGGGGTGAGGTGATTCAACCACTGTTTCATCACAAACAGCCGTTGTAAATGCTGTTATTGTCCTCGTCCAAGATGTTTAGATTGAAAATGTTGCACAGCTAGGTTCATTTTCGTGAAACCGATCTTAAGTTTTTTGCTCAGCTTCGCAACAAATTTGTTGTGTAATTCCTACACATGGGGAAGTAAGTTATGCACTGTTTTGTGAAATCGCCTACTGGTCTCTGCGTGGTCTGCTCTTCCATAACATGTCCAACCCCAGGTTAATCTCATTTGCATAAGTATAAACATATGCATAGCATTAAATCATACCAAATACATGTCCTATGCATAAACCATACACTAGAAGTTGGTTTTATTCTATGCCAAATACAACTGCGAAATACCATACCAAAGTTTTTTACATCAAAACAAAAAAAACTCACTCTTTGAAACGGTTGTTTGGCAATTTTTTGATGGTGGCAAGCACAACTGGTTTCCCCGGTGCATTGGCAGCACTGGCATAAAACTGGGATGCATAGAAAGAAGAACAAATTCATCAAGTACATTAAAAACATCACATAAGGAAAACACGGATAAACTGAACATGGGATTATCTCGAGTAGGAAAGCCATCAAGTTAGGAGTAGCAACACAGAATCAGGCTACTGCAGTTACTATAGTTGCCCTCATTGTTTTCATTGTTTTTAACCCTAACCCTCCTCAATCCTCCAAAATCCTCCCGCCGGTTTTGTACAATTTTAGAGGATTGAGGATGAATGGCAAAAATATAAAATATATAAATAATATAATATAAAATAAATATAAAAATATCGCTTTTTTTGTGGAGGATGCATTATGTCAAGCCAGTAGGCCATATCCTGCAATGGTTATGTTCAGCCATGCATAAATCAGCCCTGTGTTTTTCTCGTATTTCATCCGCACTGCTTCTTAATGCCGTTCGCAGTAATTGGTAGAGGATTTTGGATGATTGAGGCAGTGGTCACCCTCCACACACAGGAGGATTGAGGCTGAATCCATTTTTTTTCTTGGTGGCAGTTGGAGCATTTTGCAGGATTGATGTTGCATCCTAGCCAGAGGGCCTAGGGGGTTAGGGTTAATCCACCTTGAAAATGTCTTCCAGTACTGAAATAATTACTTCACTAAGGGGATAACAATGTGATGGAGCATTTATACACGTGTAATTTAAAACCGGTAAGGGACCTGGCCCGAGCCGAAGGCGAGGTCCATTATCGGTGACAAGGCCCCTAGCTGGTTTGCAACGTACTTGTTGAAAACCGGCCAAGCACATATTTATTCCCTTAGTATAATATCTGCGAGATGATGGAATCTTTTTGTTTAAACTGAATCCAACCAATCAATTTGCCTCACCCTTTTTCGTTTGTTCGGCGGCTCACTGTCTTGAGTCTGCTGTAATCTGAAAGTAACAAACTCTGAATAGTGAGAACTTTTAGATTACATATTTACAAAACAAATTCATGTTTTCCTTATTTTTCAGTAAAACTATGTGACATACTTAAACCAAAAGTTGAATGAAACAACCAAAAATAAAGTCTGACATTTTTATATTATATAATACAGAAAAGTGAGTGGTGAGGTTATTTTATCAACACAGTTTTTTTTTCAAGTAATGTTGTTTCTGCAAATGCTAAAAAGGAATATACGGTGATTTCAAAGTCTAAAAGTACCCCCTTCAACGGTAAGGAAGGGGGAGTTGAGGGAGACCGCTTGGAGTGACATTCGAATACCCCAGGGACGGTGCCTGATGCTCACGCGAAGACGCTGTGGCTATGTGCATAATTCAGAATCAAATTAGTCACGAGTGCTTCGTGCTATGCATGTGCGAACCAGTGCGCACATGCCTTGTGTCCCGTCCATGGGGCTCTCAAAAGTGGTCAAAAGCGCCCTCTCTTGTTTGCGCACATAGCCCACAGAAAGGATAACTCTCTCCTTTGCGTGTAAAATTTTCTTTACAGTGGTTCTTTTAAGTAACATAAACAACTTACAAAAGAGAATTTTCTGTATCATGGTGTAAAAGTAAACTTCCATTTCTTACTAACACCATCGTGCTGATTTATCTCTCAGTGTGTAGGTAGATTCAGTGGATGCCACACAATGGACCTTCAACTAACTAAATGAAAGACCTTAAAAGTACATCTTAAAAATATGAGCAGTTTCTCTTCTGGGAATGTGTTAAAACAAGTTGCACTTCATTACAGTTTCAAGTTGACCATTTAGCACTCACAGTTTGTCAAGTTCCTCTTCTGTTTCCTGATGCGTGAACGTTACCATAACTTCCATTGGACTCTGCAAATAAATAAAAAAGAAGATTGAATCCACTTTGTACCATCATGGAATCACACGCAATGTCACATCTAGTTATCATAATCAACACGTGTCTTTGACCGCCCTTTTTCCAACTGCTCATGGTCCACAATTCCGGCTGCTGATTAACATTTGAGGCCCTTTTACCCAACCTGACATTTCTGTGTGTTGTAGCCAACACAGAAATTTGGGGATCCCTTTCACACAAGCTAGAATCCAACACGACTTCGACACAGGTCTAGTACACTACATGGGTAAAATCCAACCCTGGTTGGGACCTGGGATGAGAAGCTCTACCCGGGTAGAAAACCCATAGTCTAAGGGCCTATTCACACTAACGTATTGCCTACCCGTGTTGGAATGAACGCGGATCCACCATAATTGGAACCGGGTCCCATGGAACACAGGCAGGCAAGCCATACCGTTCACACTTACACCAGCAGTATAACAGTCGGCTGTAGATTGTGGATTTTTTACCCGGTAGCGCCTCTCCTGGATTCTTGCTAGTGTGAAAGGAGTTCCTGAAATCTCCATGCTAGTACTACTGTTTCGCCCACAGGCGAGATTTACTTCAGTGGCCCTAGTCTCCCCTTTCCACCATGCAGACGGCAAGCTCAGCCGCAGTCTCAAACCTAGCATCCCTCTTCAAGACACCAATGTAGCTCGTCCTCTGTCTTCCCCTCCCCTTGTCCCCTTGAGTCAGCTCCCATAGTACCAGCTGGTTTGCGAGCAGCTTGGGGTGCCTGTGGCAGTGTCCTGCCAGCCCATCTGACTGTATGCAATCTTCTGTGAGATCTGTGGTAGCTAGCCGTAGAGGGCTTCGTTGGAAACATGTTCTCGCCATCCTCAGCATTCTGGTGAAACACCCGTCGAAGGACTTCTGGTGCGTCGGGGTTAGGGTTGAGTACCGTACAGCAGGATGGACTATGGTGGCCTGGAATAAGCTGAGCTCAAGATCCCTCGACATGACCCAGGTCCAACACAGAGATTTCATTATTGAAAATATAAGCCTTGTCATGTTTGATCACACCCGGATCGGCTTATGGTGGACCCGTGTTGACTTCAACATGGGTAGGCTGATGGTGTGACAAGGTCTTAGATAATTTCGGTGAAAGAGCAAGTACCCAATAACCTGAGATTTTGGTGCCATTACCTTATAGTAGAAACTGACATCCAGTGCGTCTCCCATGACCGGCCCACAGACCCACTTGTACACCTCCTTGATGGTGGCAATGATGCGATGAGCCGATTTCTGGTACAGTTTACTGGATGGAAATAAGCAAATAGTACATGAACAACTTGCAGAAACTCTTCAATAAATGGAAAACCCTCAGTATCATATGGAATAAGTATAACAATATGGCTTTGGAAAATTCAGTTTTACTTCTGAGTTCCTTGAACTTACTCTAGCCATATATGGATATATACATTTATATCCCCCTATGCATTCAATACAATCCATCCCTCCCAGACGTCAGAAAAATACTGCACAACAACTTTCATATCATACAATCCTCTGATAGACTCAGATCCCGTTTTTCCACACCCCATGATTTCCTTCCAAAGCTCCCTCACTCAAAACATCCTCGTCTCCTCCTCCCTCAAACCAACTGACTCCACGCCCACAGGCTTTCTGAAATGCTGTACAAGCATTACATTCACTGTGTGGACTTCCCAACAAAAGAGGTCCACATGAACCAGGTAGCAGCGACGTTGTGTGGACTTGCCCATGCCCACACTGTGTTTCCCCCTCTATGGAAAACAGGTTTAGAGGCATTTTGGGTTAGGTTTATATGTGGCAAAACGAAGAAAAACACTAAAGGGAATCATAGAAAAAAGTGGGTTGAAAGAGTTTTCACAGTTTGAGTAAAATGAGGTTTTTTTCATGAAAAAACTACATGAAAACAAAGGAATGTCCACACTACGTACGTAACGTAAACATGTGTGATCTGATACACCGTGCCCTCTGGAGACGTGCACACAATAGGGAACAAAAGATTGTACATTTATACGTTTCCACAGGCCAATTTCTATAGATGAATACGTCTCCACAAGATTTTCACGAAATAGATATATGGATTTTACTCAAAAACTAGAAATTTCCAAGTTGGGTTGATCTGTCGCAAATGGAAGAGTTAAAAGGGATATTAAGTCCGAATTTCAGCCAAGGAAATTAATTGTGGTTAAAATAAGAGCATTTTGAAACTTCACTTTCAAACTCGAAAACTTTACTACATGAGAACAAAGAAATGTCTCCACAAGAATACAAATTTCAATATGTGTGAGCCAAGCAATGCATAACCAGCCAAACGATGCATAACCTGCCAACATGCAAAAATTGACATCCACATCACCAGCGCCTCAACAAGCGAAACCTTTCCCATTAAGGTCAAGTTAACATGCACCTCACAAAACAATCTACTGCATCACATGTACCAAATGCAATCTCCCATACGTTGGGAAACAAGCACGACACTTAAAACCAGATTTAGAGGACATCCATCAGACATTTCTCTCAATAAAAAAGACCATGCTACTACCAAACACTTCAACCTTCCCTGCCACAACCTTTCACACTTAAGTTTCATCGCTATTGATCAGGTAACATCCCTATCTACAACTCTCCGCAGACTTTCCGAGTCCAATTGGATGAAAAAACTCAACAGAATCGAACCAGCTGGACTTAACATTTAACAATAACATCCCCACCACCATGAATAAATGAATAAATGAATAAATGAATAAATGAATAAATGAATAAATGAATAAATGAATAAATGAATAAATGAATAAATGAATAAATGAATAAATGAATAAATGAATAAATGAATAAATGAATAAATGAATAAATGAATAAATGAATAAATGAATGAAATTATTGGATGTGGGACACTATTAATGAGGTCAACTTTTAGTTAGAAATTGCCCACTAATCCTCACCTGAACACTGACTTTAAATGAAGAAAGATACATTGCTGCAGAAAAAGAAAACAAAATTTTCAAATGAGGGATGAAAATGTTTCCTGTCATTTATATGGTAATCGACAGAGAACATCTGGAAATGTTTCCCATCATTTGGTACGTCGATTATCATAACACATTTTCACCTCAAATACTTTGTGTATGCAGTAAAATACAATGTGTATGTAGTAAAACAAAAGATAACATTGTTTAAAATTGGGTCATGCAGAAATCTATCAACGAATAATTTTTTTTCTTTTTTTCGATGAGACAGAACAAGAATCTTCTCTGTTTCTTCAAATATTAATTATAATAATAACGAGTATTTATAAAGTGCACGTATCCATCAGTATTGGTGCTCAAGGCGCTACATCACTATTACCCTGCTCATTGGGCCAATGAAACATCCCAAACACCATCTCAGCTCCCTGGGAAGTATACTGCTCGATGCAGCCATTTCGACGCAAAGCAGCTAAAATCAATCACAATAACCATCTCTGCCCTCACAGGTACCCATTTACTCCTGGGTGGAGAGAAGCAATGAGTGACAAAGTGCATTGCCCAAGGGCACACGCACCATAGCCCCAGGCTGGACTCGAACCCACAACCTGCAGAATTACCTGCAGACCACGACTTCAATGCTCCAAACCACGAGGCCAAGGCACACCACAAACATTGATAAGTAGGGATGTATCAGGAGGGTAGATAAACTGTGATCATATGCTGTACAATATACCTTAACTAGCTACAAAAGGAGCCTTTGACAGCACAAATTCTAAAGCTGATGTCTTGAGCAAATGATATGATGCAGAATTCAACAGGAGAATTTCTACAGGAGTTCCTGTTTGGTCAAGCTTTAGTGGTCAAGCTAAAAGTAAACTTGTTACGGTTAGCAAAGCTTTCCAAGACGATTTTCAGATATTTTGCCTTAATAGTCACAAATGATCTAAAACTCGGGTCACAAAAATGGTTGAATATTTACTAGCCCCCATACTTCCCTTCCCCCTCCCCCACCCATTGGGTCAGGAACTGTGGAAGGAGATACACCTTCTAATCACTTACTTCTCTGATAAGCAGCTGCAAGGGTAACGTCATGGACATGGTGAAGTTTTCAAAGCCAAAGTCAGCTTCCTGCACCTGTCGTGCCATCTGTGGGAATTGTCAACACAAAGTGAGATCACTCATTCTGAATGGTGAATTTTATTGGGGGGGGGGGATTTGAATGCAATTTTGGGGTTTGCCTTTCATTAACCCTAACTCCCTAGGCATTTTTGCTAGGATGTAACCTCAATCCTGAAAAATCCTCCAAAAATGTAAATAATAGCATACAACTTTTCCTCCAAACTCCTTCATTATTTCTTGAATGTGGAGATTAGTTTGCTAACCACTTAAAACCCAGAATTACCTACAAAAGTACACACAAAATAGAGAGGTTTTGGATACAAACAAATATTTCAGCGATGCCTATCTGATATTGCCCATTCCCTTGTTTTGCATCATGTACATATACGCAGACGTATATGTTTAGTAGTCGGAACCATTTTAGTAATTTTGTTCCCCCAAAAGTGGGTCAAAAAAATTAGGGTGTGGAGTTCGGGGCCCGCTTAAGGGCAACAACATATTTTTTTTAAATTCTACATGCTCTGTGGTGCAATTTGAGACAGTTTCTGACCACTTTAACCAAATTCTTTTAGGAAAAGATGGTAGTGTACACAGTGCCCGCCTTTATTGCGAAGTCACTTCCAAAAAAAAAATGGTTTTTTTTTTGGGGGGGGGAAGACATGTCCCCCGTTGTTCCCCCCCCCCCCCCCGGATCCACCATCGGACTCTGACAAAAGTCTAATCTCTGCAGCTAACCCTATTCAGTATCTATTCACTTTTGAAACATCTCTATTATCCCAACACTCACATCAAGCACATGGCTCTTTTCACACAGACCCTGTAGAATGCCAAGGCACACACTGCAAACTCCTGTCGTCTGATTGGTTGAAACCTGTGCCTTCCCATCAGACTTTGGGGGTTCATCTTTGGTCTCCTGGCATGGGGTAGAGCCATTCTCTTTAGTCGCTTGCAGCTGGGTCAAAACCTGTCAGGGAAAGGAGCAATGGAACAAGAGAAATCTTTCTTATCTGGGAAAATAACAAAAAATAGTAAGTACAGCAAACAGCACCTAAGTGAGATATTACAATAGACGTGTGCATTGTGTACCAACAAAAATCTTCCCATAACCCCATTTGTAAATACTCTCCACCTCCCCAAACTTTTTAATTATACTAAATATTCCCAAACTAAGGAATAGTCTCGGGTCAAGACGTTGTGGTATATACACCATAACCCACCGTCGCGATGACCCGTCGCCACAAGAGGACATCACAATGAACTGCTATTATCCACGAAACAGCAGAAACAACATCTTGGGAATCTTATAAATCTTCCCCCCCCCCTAAAAAAAAACCAGAGGGAAAACTAGTGTGCATTTACTACTTCTGCAGGCATTTATGGTCCATTTTCAGTCCCAGGCATACTACATAAATGTACCACAAACAAGCTGCAATGAAGTGGCACAAAAGTTTTACTGCATCTTGTATACAGGCATGCAACTGGGAAATCACAAAAAAAAGAGGAAATTCTAATTTTTCTTAGACTCTGTACAGTGTCTTTCTATTTTCAATGGCACACATGGGAAGTAAAAAAATAGGAAATCAGCTGATCTGAGGAAAAGTTGCATGCCTGTGTATACTAATGGAAGAAATTTAAGAGTTTGGTTTGGAAGAAACATGAAAGGTTTTGAATGTGCGCTGTATATACATTGTATTAGGCAAAACAGGTGCATTGCACTACTGCTACAAGATTCACAAGATGTTGTTACTATTGCATATCTAGAATAAAGCCCTGCCCCAAGACTACCCGTTTTAAGCAACTTGCGACAATAACATTCATTCTAGAAGTAAACAAATGAGGGGGGCACTAAAATGATTCACTCAAGGTCTCTAGAGGGTGAAAGGGTTGATGTACCTCCTGTGGGTTGTTGTACGAAGACTGTCTTTTGGCTCCGATGAGTCTCAGAATACATCGGTCACAACATCCGCATCGTTGAAGTTCACTTATCACTGTTTGACACTCCTCAAGCTCAAAAATGTCTGCACATTGGGCTGAGAAAATGAAAGAGACAACTTCGTTGAAGTGACACAGAGTGAATTTCTATTTTATTTGTGACATACAACAGTTGTCATTACTGCCACATTATCACGGTTTTTTATTGAGAGTAATGGGAATATTCCACCCCCCCCCCCCAATATTTCGTGAGTGCACTATTTTCTACGTGTTTCTTTTTCACAAGTGCCAAATTTTAACAAAGAAAAGGGCACTCATGCAAAAAAAATGATGAACAGCACCCCCATGGAAATATGGTGTTCAACCCCCCCCCCATGCCCCCCCCCCCCTTGAGTGTACAGAGGCTGGGTGATTGATGTAAAAACCCTGTCTAGCCTTCAGCAAGGATGAGGCGAGTGCACTTTCTTATGTCTAACACCCAACCCCTCAAAACAACCAGATGGATGTCTCTAAAGAGCTCTTACCATTTTGCACATATAGGAGTCAGGATACATTGTATGATTGTCAGAAATGCTGTATGATCAGATATTCAGAAATTCTTATGACTCCAATTCGTCTTGTGCCAAGGAAAAGGACGTAAGCAGCCCAGGCACGCAACAAGCACTTTTGGAGATAATCGAGTTGAAAGGTTTTGTGCTCCCATTTCTAAATGAAAAATCACATCAGGCTGAAATTTGGGCTCAAGAAAGGCGTTAACAATTAAAATCACCTTGTGCTTTTTTATTTCAAAATATTACTTATTTAGAAGTTATTTCAATATTTCTACTCACAACCTTTTACCGGGAACTCCATCTGCCTTAAACGTGAACTTGCCCTACATTAAACGTGCGCTTAAGCAGCATGTTAAATCCTAACGTCCTTTTGTCGGGAACAAACTTGGCTTTACATACCCAATAAGTGGGACGTTAGGATGCTTGGAATATTTTTTGTTACATTATAGCCTAATTACACACTTACGACCTTTTGCCGGGCACAAATGATGAAAAACCTCCTTCTGTCTTTTGTTTACTGTTCATTAGGCCAAATTAAAAAAAAAAAAAGTTTCTCGTCTGGGTTTTCGAAAAAAAGGAAGAAGCGGGGCTTTTTATTTTTTATTTGTTTCAAGATGGCCGCCATTTAAAAATTTCCTGCAATTGTTGGTGTTTCCACTGTTCAAAGACACTTTTAAAATGAAAGATAAGTTGGACAAGAGATCTGAACATATTTACAGTGTCATTTAGACTTGTATTGGTCTACAATTTATTTTCCGATGAATTTGTGGACTTTTTCGGTGTTTTTTTACTGCATTTTTCAAAAATAATAAAAAAATCCAGGCGGCCTCCAAAAAGGAAGCGGGCGGGGACGAGAAACATGTTTTTTTACTTTGCCTTACGTGAGAATGATGTAGCCCCTTGAGACAATTTGTACATCAAATAAAAGATATTTCCATTCCTAGCTTTATCGATTACCCAAAAAACCCAAGTTTGACCTTTTGACCCATTTTTCGCCCTTACGGCCTTCTTCCAGGCACTCGACGAATAATACTCTAATACCTGGAAATTGAAAGCTAGATCCTGTGCAACTGGCAATTCATGGCTAGCCTGATATACAAGTATTACGGCCCAGTAAAAAAAAGGTTTCTTGTCTGGGGGGGGGGGGGGGGGGGGGGGGGGGGGGGTAAGTGGGAGGGGAAGAAAAACTGGTTTATTTCTTTACTTGGGCTGGCCTAACAAACAAGTGTAATTTATTTTAAGCTCACAAAACTTTGCAGATGTAAATAAATCTAAAAAATGTGAAGAATAAAATATCTCGAATTTTTGACAGAGATACCAATAGGGGGCCTACTGGCAGTATTGAACTCTGGCAATTGTCGAATCAAACTATACTACTGCCATGTTTACGAGTCTAGAGCATTTTTTTATTTTTGCAGTTACTTTAATACAGTCATGACTATTTTGTGGCTGGCAGAATGTTTTGTCAGATTTCTAACTTTCCTTCCCCCCCCCCCCCCCCCCCCCCCCCCAATTTTTAAAATGCATGCAGCCATGGCTGCAAGGTTCTGCAAAGCTGGGAATGTTCTGCGTGTAACACCCCCTGCCCCCACCCCTTTCCCGCCCCTTACCCCGCCCCCGCCCCTTCTCCCTCCCATCCCACCGGTATTGTATTCTGCTATTCATTTCATTGTTGCATTGTTGTGTGTCGGAATGCGTGGCGGTACATGGCTATTTTTTATCATGACATTTAACTCATTAAAATACATAGCTTTTTCTTGTAAATCATACGACAGATTAAAGATAGATTTTCAAATATCAGGCCTGGATCATTACTTTCGAATCGAAATAAAATGAGGAAAAAAAAATACCTGATTTGTTTGTCTCTTTGGGCTATCTGCATTGCTTTCTGAAGTCGCCATTTTTCAATCCCAGTAATGCAATGCGCTCTAGGCTCAATCACATCAGAAAAAAATGAACATGTTAAAGTCTTCAAAAAAATCCAATACATATTTTTGGATTACGTTTTTACTATATCCTATTTGGCGAGTTAAGTATTTTTAATTTATTGTCACTTACAGAACGTTACATCTGTTGAAAAGGTAAATCTTTAAAATTACTGTTCTTTTTAAACAACCGAGTTGTTCAACTTTCATTTTCACTCGTACCCACTGCCCTTTCCAGGTAGTCAGGAGTTCAATCTGAGCTGTCATTGGATACATTTTTGCATAATCACCTATAAGTGGCGCGCCGGAGCTACCCACAATGCTTTGTAGTTTCTTCATAAAATATGCGAAGCGGATTAGCCATTGCTGCCAGCTTCATTATGGGCAGGGCAGTGGGTACGATCACGGGTGTAGATGACAGCAACATGAGTCATGTCATCCGTTCTCCTTCGCTCTTTCTCTGAAGCTATCTGCGCGCTGCCGGCAAAAATGTCTTTTGCTGTGATAGACACTCAGCCGAAACGAAATCCTGCTCCCCTGGATCATGGAGGAAGATCCATGGAAGACATTTCTGACGACTATTTCTCAACGATGAGCCCCATCGGACGAAAACTCATCACCGAGAAACGGAAATGCATGGACTCGCATCGAAGAGATTGGGAGCGCTTGACTCAGAAAGAAAAAGACACCATCTTAGATGAATGGTTCATTGACCCCAAAATTCAACTAAGATACGAGTTGAAATTGGGAAAGAAATCTGCAGATGGTGCTCCGGAATGTTTTCCTCGGCTAAAAGTTCATGGCGGGGGAAAGGAGGTTCACTATTCAGAACAGGACGATGGTTCTCACTCTCAGAATCAAAGCAAAGAGGTAAACAAAAATGTCTTCAATTTTTTATCATTGTCAAATGATTGTGGTCTGAAAAAAAGGTGTACTTTTGTCGGGAGATCACAAAATTTAGTGTTTCAAACTGTCATATTATTATATTAATTTGCAATATTCATTGATATTTCGACGGTCCGAGGGAAATAATTGCATCCATCCAGACGCCACTTCAGCGGTGGGTGTACAAAGGCTATGGAGAATTTTCTAAGTATAACAACACTGGAAATGTTTCTCAGTCCCAGATTCATGTCTTTTCAACATATTCGCAATGACTGACCTTTATTTAGATGAAAAGCCTATAATAGGCTATATGTAGAAAAAAGTGGCGTCAGGTTGTAACATTCTTTCTGGTTCGAGTCACAAAAAAAAAAAAAAGATTTAGTGTCGTATGTGTACATGGTGTACTGAGAAAATGTTGAAAAACTCAATTTGTTTTCATGCTGACAAGAGTGACATGTCTAATGCGGGGATTTTTGGTATTGTCAACACTAAAGGCAACGGTGTCAGTTCAAAGTAAATACGAACGGACGACATTGGCTTTTTTTTTTTTTACATTTATGTTGACCTGGGAGTGGGTGGACCAAGTTGACTTGGGACCGAGCTGACTTGGACAGAGTTGGTTTTGAACTGAGTTGATCACCTGCACTCCTAGTACGACCGATCAAAGTCAAAATTCGACAAATGGAAAAGTAGCACGCCAGCTACTGGGTCTACATTTTAACATGATTTGGCCCTCTAATGAGCTACTGTACTTTTAATGATCTTTCCAACTCTTCGCAACTATTATTAATATCATGAAAACTACAATAAGAGCCCCCAAGAGCCATCTTTGCATTGTCTACTGTTCATCTTCAACTTAAAGGGAATACATCTATCATTCGTTTTTGTTGTAATTTTAAGAAATGGATGGATTTTGGGGGTAAGTATTATATAGCAGAAATTGTATATATGTATTCACTGACCTGTAAATATTGTTTGCTCATGAGTCATAGATGCTGAAAAAAAAACAGGAAGAAATGTTCGTCTTGGAGTCTGGTTCCCCGACCCAACTTCAGATGAAACTTCTGGGCAATTTGTAGATGTCGGGGAACAGACTATCTGGCTTAATCCTTTTTGCGGATGTGTAACTGATTGCAAACAGAATGTGGACTAGTTTGAAAGTCATTTTTTTCGAAGATGGTCAACAGACCATCATTGGAAATTGATAGAAAACTAGATGGTGTTTTTCAAGGGATTAGCATTCGTGTACACGTGAACATTGTGGGAAACGTATAATCACTGTTAATGTTTTCTTTTCTGTCCACAGACTGTTTCCTGGAAGGATGAATTTTCTGGGCCATTTTGTTGGGAAACAAAGGTAAGACTAAGCAAAAAAGGTCACTCTATAAAATACTGCTCATTTTAGCAGGATGCACATTATAGGAGCAACTCATTATACAGGGTGGATAAAAAAACTTAAAATTATTGCTAATTGGAACAGAAGTAGGGCACATGTGAATCAAATGGAGATATCCTCTGTTGGGGTTGAATCTCCTCTTTAAAATGACACCCTGATCATGTCATTACATTCGCGGTTGACTGAGCAGTGACCAATTTATGAAAGGGTCTATTTAGAGAATTGCGCCACTTTCCAATTGTGGTTTTTGTGGTGTCATTTGTCAGAGTGAAAGGCTATGGTTGCCAATCAAGGCAGGTGGGAAAAAAAAGAGAGATTTCACCATGATTAGTGGCGCAAATCTCTCAATAGACCCTTTCATAAAATTGGTCACTGCTCAGTCAACCTTGAATATAAGGACATGATCAGGGTGTCATTTTAAAGAGGAGACTCAATCCTAACAGAGGATATATTTTTTGTGGCTTATTTCTTTTTATTTAATGAAGGTGTGTAACATTGAAAATCTTTGTTTGATTTGATTAAGTGCCAACAAGAGCTGACCATCTTGGCTACTGACACCATCTCAGCCTCCTCGATCCCTTCTCCATCCATCTCCATGACCTCATCAAAGTCACCGATCCTGAGGTCGAGACTGATGCCGAGTGGTTTGCCAAGAGCAACAAGGACAAGGACAAGAACAAGTTGTCTGTCATGCTGATGCGAGATGTCAGCAACCGCAGCAGCCTGGGGAACAACCTCCTGGCGTCCAGCTCGGAGAGACTCGCCTTTGATCAGGCAGTCAACACTGCCTTGGCCAGCAAGCCCAAACCTAAGGACAAGGCTTCCACCAATAACAACGACAATGGCGAGAGGAAATCCAGCCAGGGGTCCGTTGAGGGCAAGAAGAAGAACACACCACCAGAGCCTTCCGAGAAGACCAAATCAGCACCGCCGACATCCTTGAGGCAGAAAAGTAGTTCCAAAAGCTCATTGAACAAGGAGCCCGACAGAAAAATTGCAAGTGGAGGCAAGGTAAAGGACAAGAATAAGAATGGCCTCCCTCCTTCATCTCCCAGGAGAGACAGTGGCTCGAAGAGCAGTGAGTCAAAGAGCAGTGAGTCAGCCTCTCCAAGGAGAGATTCAGGATCCAAGGCCGTTGGGTTGGGCTCCCCGAGGAGGGACAGTGCCTCGAAGAAGAAGAGTGAGAAGAAGCAACTGCTCCCTGCGGGCTTTCTGACAGAGTTGGAACTGAAGGTGCAGGACAATGTAAACTTTGACCCTGGAGTGCAGAAGGACCAACATGGGCAGGGTGATGCGGAGGTGAGGATACCTTATGTTCGGTATTTGGTTTTGCCCAGAACCGATGTGTTTTATAAATGCTGTACATTCAGTGTTGTCCGAGGGCTTGCATGAAAAAAATCATCAGCTTTCTCGGGTGGGACTCAAACCTACAACCTCCTGCTAACTAGTGCAGGGGTCTTTTCTTTTCTCTCGCAAACCCCCAGGCAACACTGAGTATACAGTGTTTATGAAATGTTCATTAGAGGGCAAAACCCTATATTAAATTTACATCTCCCCAAATGCAAATTCCATCCTAGAAGTGCTGCAGCCGAACCGCCGAACCGAACTAAATTTAGCCAAACTTGGCCTTCAGAACCGAACCCGAACCGAACCCAAATGTCGGTTCGGAAGAGTTCGGCAAGTATTTGCTGCTAGCCGTAGGAATGCTAATGCTTGCAATGAAAGGGAAAAATTAAAGTGCCTGAATTTACCGTGTTGACAAGTCACCGCATTCATCTTCATTATTTGCAGTGTTCTAGCGGATATCGGGCTGATACGCTTTGAAAAATCGTACCCACCTTGCGATTTTCTCAATGAAAAGTGTGCTCTTTGCATGCGTGGTCAGTATCTGGCCCTGCTGTTATAGCATGACGTAGTACGTTTGGACCAAACCAATTGCGGTGAAGAGTGTGCATTCCTTGGCAAAATTTACCAGCATTTTCAGTTTTTTTAACCTTGTCAAAATTTTAAGAAATACTTTTTATGGAGTCTGAAACCTTTCCCATGTTTAGAATAAGTTCTTAATTTTCACAATATTTATTTTTTTCATAAAGAATGTATACGAAACGTGATGTAATCTCCCCAAAGAAGGTGAAACACCCCTTTACAAAATTAATGGATCCGTCCACAGAATGATTATTCATGGCAGTCGCGAATCGAAAAGTTATTGTTTTTCTACGGTAGCTACTTGTCAGCTTGTTGCTAAAATAATTATGATTTCATAAAATAATTTTGGCACAGTAAAAGGACCTGTTTGTTCTTAGAACAAAAATAATCAGCAATTTTGACACAAAGCAAGTTTTTAGTGCTCATTAGGGCATGCTCGGACGGGACGGAACTCGTCGGGCAAACCATCAGCACGTGTGGGGAAATTTTATCATAGTTGCCGGGCCGGATAGGGCTGCGATAGGTAACACGGTAGCAATTTACGATGTACATTTCTCAACGTCATCAAGTCAAATTATAACGGTATTTTGTTTACACAACAAAAATAAGATTCATCCTTCAACTTGTGTTGTATAGCATGTGGAAATTGCGGTGCCTATTTTTGTCAGACGTGCGTGGTGCACACCTGTTTGTTCGAACAGGGGAACGGCCTATGTGCTTTTCATTGTAGCCCAATATTTTTTACCATGAACATGTACATTATGTATGCACTTCCGAAGCCGAACCGAACCGAAGTTCGGAGAAAAAAATCGAACCACAACCGAACCGAACTGAACCGAACTTTCAGTTTCAGTTGCAGCACTACATCCTAGAAACTAAATATATTTGACAGGAACTTATTGTGAGAGTTTTACAGTAATGCAAACATTTCTGAATCTAGAGAGCTTTAATATGTTTACCCTGAAAAATCATTGAGAAGAGGCAATGTTTTTGTTGTCTTGTTGCATTATCTGTAAATAGCCCCTTGTCCCTTTTGGTTTGACCAAATCAACTATCCTGCCTTCATGTGATGATAATGGTACATGCAATTGTTGCTAATTAGCATGCTCAAGGACACAATCATGTACAAATTTACAATCATGTTAACACTCTACAACAGCCAAAAACATGAGCCACGGTGACACTAAAAGGCGACCCAAAAAAAGTTGTGCAGGCAGATATCGTTGAATTTCTCAAAAAAAGTAGCTATACTAACATGAGTATTTCATTTTGATGGAGCATATTAATTATTCTCTTGTGTATAATCAGTGAAAATGTCATGGAAACCCATTCGTGCAACCGGAGCTGTAACAGATTATAAAAGGATATTTTTCAACCATTCCAGTGGGAATTACACATTGCAAGCAGCATTGAAAACCGCTCAACCGAAACTCTGCAATGGGTCTTTTCAGTAACCGTGTAAATCACATTGGAACGGGTGAAAACACATTGCCATTTGTAATCTGTTGTATCTCTGGTTTGCATGAATGGAGTTTCATCAAATTTTCGCTGTGATTATGCACAAGAGCACAAACAATATACTCCATCAACATGAAATGCTTATGTTGGATACTTTTTGAGAAATTTAAAGATGCCTGCTTGCACAACTTGTTCTGGGTCAGCCAGTATTGAGTGTAATAGACCTTATGTGTTAAAGCTGAATAGGATGTGACAATGGTCTATCGCAGGTTTGAGATTTCCTTAAAAAAAAATTCCATTTCCTCAAATTTTGCATTCAATTCAAATCCATTTCAACACTTTTTTCTTTTACAGGCCGGAGGGTCTCCAAAAGACCAGGAAGCAGAAAGTTATGAGTTTCTCTTTGACTGGTAAAACAACATCATTGGTAGTATAATCCTCTGTATTAGTGTGTGCCAGCATGTGACCTGTATGTAAAAGTTGTTTGTTGATGAAAACAGCAACAGTAGACTAGCGTGTGCATGTTAGTGTGCTTTATATAACCGACATACAGATCCTTGTCATTTGATTGGTGAAACTCACATCACGTGTCATTCGTTATTACTGCCATTCACGCCGGAGCTCAAAAGTACTATCCGCCCATGGTGAATGGGAAATACTATTCAACAGTTAGGATCAGTCTTGTTCCATGACGCGGTATTTGTGTGCAAATACATGCTGATGTGCGCGTTCAGTGTTGCGCGTAGCGCGTATTGTTCCAAAGAGCCAGCGCTACAGCGTTGGGTTCAAACATTTTCCTGAAGGAGTGGTTTGGAAGAGAGAAATACATTTTTTCACCAATTTTGTATTGAAATAAAAGTTCAAATATATCAAATGACAAGGATCTATATGTCAGTTATATAAAAAAATATTGAGTGGCTTTAAATTGTGAAATGGGAGGAATATTATCGCTCGGTAAAAATCTGGACTTTTCCAGTTCACTCGGCCCTCGCCTCGTGAATTGGAAAAGTCCACATTTTACCTTGCGATAATATTCCTCCCATTCCACGCTGATCCACTCAATATTTGTATAATGTTATGTTACGATACACAAGTATGCAGCAAGTACTGCTGGGCAAGTAACTTGATTACACGAGTACTAGCGAGTAGTATGCTACTCGTTGTTCTACTCTTTGTTTTTGATCCACTCGAGTACTCGTCCTGACGTGAGTCGAAGCAGGTAATCGCGAGTAGTAGCGGTTTATGGTTCATGGCTTAATACGTCCCCTGCAAACAGGGAATCACTCCCTCCACCTCTCTCTCCCTAGGATTCCTATCGTTCAAGAAAAGAAATTCAAGTAAAGACCTAAAACTTTGCACAGTAAGGATATCTCAGTGCTGAAGAATGTGGCATGACTTGCACGCTACGTATATATCATTTGTCTGCTTTTATGGAATTTGGTTAACTACTGGCGAGTACTCGACTACTCGCAAGTAATTTCTTTGTGAGGACTCGAGTAGAAAAAGCCACTACTCGCCCAGTCCTAGTAGCAAGTATGGATGAAAAATTCATTTTGATCCATCAAAATCAAGGGATAACTTTTTCGGAAGTTGCAAATCTGACCAGACATGTATGTATTTTACATTCTTGTATATCTGATGTTATATCTCCGTTTTCATTCATTTGAGACTTTTGATATTTGGGTCATTCTATAAATTTGGGGTCCACTTTTTATTCTGACACTGTTACATCTCACATTATGATTTTATAATGCTGATGCACTCCTTAATGCAGTCATCCCCCCCCCCCCCCCCTAAGAGTGATTACTTTGCAAACTACCTACCCAACAAATAAATTGTTTGAAGTCATTCTTATTGATACTTGAATGGCAAAATTACAGATTACCTAGATAAAAGGAGCAGGAAAATGTCACACTTTGGACCCTCAATTCAGTGTGACCAATTACCATTTCTAAGATGATAAAAATAACTCTGATGGTTCCAAAACTTTGTCCAAAGTAGTTTTAATGATTTCACTCATGTAACAGCGCCCTTTATACTAAATGGTGTTGGGGCAAGTAGTTGAGTTCATTCCCTCCCCCCCCCCCCCCCCCCCCCCTGCAAACAGGACGCTGGGATACGCTGATGAATTCACGCTGTGATTGGTTGGATTTTCTGTGACCTGCGCGTCATCACGGTCATGACTCTGCGAGGTTTGAAACGGCCATTAAGACTGATTCATTACTCTTTATTCCAATTTATAGGTGCTTTTTTTCCGTTGAACAGCGTAATAATGCAGGAAAATCTGTAAAACTTATCTGTGTTGTAAATTTACAATTCCCGTCATTTGCTCAGGCTCCGTTTCGAATTCACGAACGGTGAATGATTGCATTATGCGGTGCTCAAAATTTGTCCACATGGTCCGCAATGAAAAAGAAATCACATCCGGTATGGATTGTGTACATTTCTATGAGAAAGTTTTCGGGGGGGGGGGGGGGGGGGGGAACAAGCAAAGTAGTTGAGAAAATCGATAAGTAGAGGGCGCCATTTCACATACCTTCGAATTCTCATAAGTGTCGTCACCAATGTTTTTAACTTGTGTTAGTTTTACTTCAAAAAAGCAAAAGCTGGGATTTTGGGGGAAAGATAGTTTTCAAAAATCAGTGTATGGACAATTTTACTTTAAGCTGTTGTTGAAAGAATTTTTTTTTGTTTAATTTTTTTTTTAATTTTAAATGATGCTTGAGCCTTGGTTTTTTATTACATTTCATAACATTTCCTTTGCAATTGCCCTTTTTTTTTTAGGACAGTAGTTATATTCAGATCAGCATTTTTAAAATTTGAAAAAGAAATTGGTCTAACTTTTTCGTTGAAAATATGCTCACAAATTAATTAAGCTTACATGTACATTTTATGCTGCACAAACCTGAAATACATACATGTATGAGTCAAAGTTAGCCATTGAATGCTTGTAAGTGGTTTACAAAAAAAAGTGTTCCTTATAAGGGTTCATTTGAAAGGATTTGTAAGATGTTTTCAAAATCAAACTTTTGAATAGACCTGATGCGTTAAGGCGGCGTAAGAGGGCAATAGTTTTGTATCGCCTGGATAGGTTTAGGCTGAAAAAAAAAAGATTCCGGTTTCTGGTATGGAGCTTGCCCAAAAAGTGGTGCGGCGACGCGGCTATTTTTTTTTTTTACCTGATTTATTTGCTTCAAATGTCGGCTTATGACTGCAAATGGTGCCCGACTAAACTTAGTGCAAATATGTGGGAGTCCAGAGAGGCCACATAAAGCTTATTCTCGACCATAACCCAATCTAAAAACGCGTTAAAATTGTGCAGCAGCAGGATTCCAGTCAAACCAGTGAGTTTGGCGGTTTTGAGACATCAGCTTTCATTGAAAAAAAACTTTTTCATTTTGCCGACGCGCATGGCTACGGCGACGCACGCGCATACCAGAAACCAGAGACTTCTTTGGGGGGGCCTAGGGCGTAAGTAACCCTTTTGACCATTCATTGTTATTAAATCAGAATAACAAAGAACGCCCTCTGAGACACCCGCTACTCATAAGGTCTATTGTTTAGAATTTTAAAGGTAAGCCTTTAACTTCACCTTTTGTGATATATGCCATTTGGTTTTTTACGCATATTGGTGTATGAAGATCATAATCTTTGTTTTATTTCTTGATTTGTTGACATTTTTAACAAACCTTTTTCCTGTTTAGTTTCCCATCTAACAAACTTATGTCATAGTATTCAGGATTCAGTATTTAATAAATGCAGACTTTTTATGACTTTTAATCAGTCATATTTTACCTGTACAGCTTGACATAATTGTATACATCTCGGTACATGCCTATTTATTTATTTTAAACTGAATAGTATTGTTCATGACTATTGTAATCCAGGAGTCATTATAATACTACATATTTTGCCAATTATATTTTGATTCAAAAATGTACATATTTTTGATTACTTGCAGTTTTCTTTGATTTTTACACTTGAAACAGACTAAGAAAGCTGGAACTAGTTCTGAATTCATTGCCTTTTCATTTTTAAGGACTTGATGTTACATTCTTTCAAAATGTAGGTTGACTTTAGAGTGAAATTTATATTGTATTCCAACAAAAAATAACTTGGACAGCTCAAAAAGATTGAATGACAAATGCACGCGCATAAACCTGTATAAAGATAAAACTGAATCATCAGATGTTTGGCATTGACAATGAGTCTATTGTGTGTTGTAAAATGAAACCGTGGACAATTATGCAAAATACAAGTACATGCACATTGATTGTTGTGGTCTGCATAGTGTATTTTGTCGTATTCAGGTCACCTTATGGGCCGTATGCATAAGTCGGCCTTATTGAATTGAAAGTGAGGTAAAATCTTCATTTTTGGAACTTGCGAAGAGAAATGAAAGCAAGTAAATTACTAATTAATTCAAGTCTGCTTCAATGAATAATTTAAAATTTGTAATTATACATTCCCTAATGTTTTAAGCCAGATTAAAAAAAAAAAGACAGTAAAATAAGGCTGCATAAATAGTCTGGCCCCATTCCGTGCAACAGTCAACAATTTATGAAATACATTCAGGGAACTCAACGTGTCAGGTGAAGGTGAGGTGAGCATACCAGGAAATCAGAAGCCCTTGCAAATAGCCTTGATCCAAGGCTGGATTAATTTGCGATTCACTTTATGTCGTTTACTTTCATTTCTCTTAGCAAGTTCCAGAAATGAAGATTTGACCTCGCTTTCAATTTGATATGGTGGACTGGTGAATAAAGCCATGGGATGCATCCTTGTGATTTGGACATATCACCCTGCTAATCTTATTACTCATAATCACAGGTTGCTAAAACGGGTCCAGTGCTGTTAAAGGTCAAAGGTGGGGGGGGGGGGGGTTACACACACACTGATAGTGAGGTTTTATCATTGGCTATAACAACAACAACACAATGTATTCAAGGCCTTATGACTAGGACAAGGTACTCCAACCAAGGCAACTTGTCCAGTCGACCTTGCCAGTGACCTGTAGTCAGGTTGGGTGCAGTGGAAGGATGATGATGATGACAATAAATGATGTCAAGTGTTAAAGGGAATATACAACATTTGCAAACATCGAAAAATAAAACTACTAAGTTTTTACGAAATACCTTACTAGGATGTTGGTAAATGACAGTCTCAAGCATCTTGTAAAATTATGGCACCTGGTGTGGAGTCATTTTCAAGAAAATGGTATTTTTGTATACATTTCCAACGGTGGTCGGCCGACCACCATTGGAAAAACCTAACTATTTTTCAACTATTGCTCCAAATTTACAATTTTTTTTTCAGTCCAAATTTTGTTTGCTATCTGTTACATGTTCATGATGGAACGGGTGAAGGCCAGCTAGACTGGTTCCCTTACCTTTACAATTTTCCGGCATCTACAAAT